ACAAGTTTTGTAACGGTGCAGAAGATGTGCCTTGCATTCGTTGTTTCCATTCAACTCCCCAAACCATCCTATAGTTAGTTTCGGCCTTGATTGTGGTCCGGAAAAGTTCCGGATTCTCCACTCGGCTCCCAAATGGAAATAGATTGCTTTCTCATTTCAAGACAAAATTTATCGCGTAAAACAATACTTTCAATTAAACTGACAAAAACAAAATGATTTGAAAACGAAAAAGAAACAACGGAAAAGGGGGTGGGACAAATGCGACCTTTTTTTGCGCACCTGGACATTTGCGCACCTTTTTTTGCTGGAAAAGGCCTTAGGAAAGGTCGTAGAACTTCAAAAATGTTTTCATAGAAGGGAATCGTATGCGTAGATTCCGAATTTCGACAAATCAGACCTCGCTGACACGTCAAATTTGGGCTAAAGGGCAAAAACTACGCAACTTAACGCTTTCCGCAAAAAGCTTTCCGCTTTTCCGCTAAGGCCTTTTCCAGCAAAAAGAAAGGTGCGCAAATGTCCAGGTGCGCAAAAAAAAGGTCGCATTTGTCCCACCCCCACGGAAAAACAAATGATTTGAAAACGAAAAAGAAAAGACGACGCGGCACTCCCATCGACTACCTCCAAATGGCGGTGACGTCAATTGGAATGCGACGTCGCGCAAAAATTAACACTTAAAATTTGCGATAGAAATTCAAATTTAACATGAAAAGTCTCGAGAATCACATTTTTTTTTCTCTGGAGATCATTCTCTACTACTGATTCATTTAAATAATAAAATGATGGGTGCAAAATCCAGTACTCAACCTAAAAGAGTTTATGGTACCTGGATAGCTGTTAAGTTAAAAACAACTACCATTACTATAGCCAGGTCATAAATTTGGGATAAGGATCGGAGAAAAAGAGGCTTTTGGTAACTGATTCTTCACTTGCTGTGGCAGCTCTGCATGAATATCCACTGCCGTCATCAACGGGTCCATCTTTGAGAGCTTGAGAGCTCGAGAATTCGATTGCCATCGCGAGACGTTGTCTTCCGAAGTGGACTTTGTTCTTTTTTTCTTTAATAGTTCCTGTTTGACGATGAATAGTCAAAATTGAAGAAACAGTGCTCTCAGAAATCGATAAATTTTAAGCGATTTTCTTTGTGTTTGATATGTTGACCGTGAAGTCGCAGCATATCCATTCTTCCACAAGCATTCTTCCAATCCATTCTTCCACAAGCATTCTTCCAATCCATTCTTCCACAAGCATTCTTCCAATCCATTCTTCCACAAGCACAATCCATTCTTCCACAAGCATTCTTCCAGCCATTCTTCCAACATCCATTTCTTTCTTCTTCCCATATCTAAAAATAAAAATTAAAGAAAGAATTTGTTATAAAAATTCAAAAAAAATAAAGCAAACAGCAAACCAAAAAATGACTTTTTAAAAAATTCGTAAGTTAATTTCCGATATTGTAGATTATAGTACTCTTTAAAGCTGCCAGGGGTATTGGATTAGCTTAGTTTCTCACTTCGTTTCAAGTGGCTATGAAATGAGACCAGTTTACATAAAATTTGATGACTTTTCCTGTATTACAATTGAATACGACAAGAAATTTTCTCAAAAAAAACCTCTACGTGCTAATGGTCGAGTTTAAAAAACCGAAAAAAAAGAAATACATCATTGAAAAAAGAATGGTTGAAGAAGGAACAATAATAACGATTGGGTAAACCGGAAGACTGAGATAATTAGGTTAAAAATTTCCCTTTTTAAGGCGAGAGAAGCGGTGCCGTTGAATTGACAAAATTTTCGGGACCAACAAGGGACTCACCCTTAAACCCCCAAAGACAGTGGCCTTGAAAAAGGAAAAGGAAAAACTCGATGACACCACAAGACTTAGAAAATAATTATATTTTGGTGTTTAGTCGTGTGTATTTTTTCCCCTCTCGGTGTTCAGCTCGGGCGAACGGGGATCTCCTGCTGTGTACCCCCGCTTTTCTTCTTCAATTCAAACCCATGTTCTATGCAACAACACGGCGTCCGCTTTTTCTCTGAAAGCGCAAATTTTTGACAAATCAACTGACAAGGGAAAGGCATCGATTGGCCTTTTGGCATTGGATTGGCCTTGGATTGGCCTTGGGAAAGGCATTGGATTGGCCTTTTGACTCAAGATCAAATCCATCTGATACACTCGGCATGAAATCTCGAACCCGTTGTTGGTTTTTCAGAACGAAATATCTAATTCGGACTCCTTAAGAAGCTGTCACATGCTCTCGTAGCAGCTGCTCCTGTGGCCTAGTGGATAGCCTGCTAGACTGGCGGACCTGTCACTTTTTTAACCCACAAGTTCTATACTATAAAGTCATGGGGATCTCGAATCAGCTTTTAGTTTTTCCAGAACGCTTCGCAAACGCGAGATATCGAAATTTCGGACTTCTTAACGGGCCACATGCTATGTTAACAATTGCTTTGGTGGTCTAGTGGATAGGCTGCTAGACCGCCGAACCTATTAAACTTTTTACCCCAAAGTTCGAGTCCGCATAAGTCTTCATAAGGAGCTCGAAATCAAGGTAGTTTTCTATGTAAAACATCTCGCGTTTGTGAAGCGTTCTACAAAAACTAAAACCCCATGGCCCAGATCCCCATGGTCGACTCTATAAGATGGACTTGGTCCCGAGTCAAAAGCCCGGCTTGACTTTCCCTTGTGAGTATAACAAGTGTAAGTCTTCTCAAAGTTTTTTAACAAGATCACATTCTATAAGACTAATTATAAGGTTAACTTTGATCAAAATCTCGTTGAAAGTTTTCAAATGGATTTTGATAAGAAATCTCACGAAATGTTCGCTCAATCATCTAGCTTCTAAAACGATCTATGAGAAGCTCTATCAATTGAGTATAACAAGTGTAAGTCATTGCAAAGTCTGTTAATAGGGATACGGTATTCAAGGCTAATTATTCAAGGGATATAATTCACAGATTCATGCTTAAATCTATCAAGCACAAAACAAAATACTACAGAATCTCTATGGTGATTTCACTATGAGAGCTTATCTCTCAGACACTTTTCCCTCTCATACTCGGCACTTTGAATATCATATCATGATAAGGGACTTCAGCAAAAAGTTATTACAGAGTATCCAATAAAAAGACTTTTCAACTCAAATTTTTGCAAAAGTTTAAAGTTTAAGTTTAAAAAAAGTGATGGTGTGAAAAGTGCTTTTTTATGTAGGCAAATTTTAAAACGTTTTTTGAGAATTTTTGAAATTTCACCAAACTTCAACTTTAATTTGCTGAGAGTGGGACAAATGGGCGCTGCTTGTTGTGAATGCTTGTTATAATGGGCGAAAAGATGCGCAAATGTCCGGGTGCGCAAAAAAAAGGTCGCATTTGTCCCACTCCCGATTTGCTCCTTAAATCTCATAAGAATTTTGTTTGCAAAAAGTTCTTTGACTAAAAAATCATTTACAATTGTTATATTAGGTTGAGGAACAAGTAATGTCAGTTTTGAATTCCCGTTGTTGGCAATTTTCCAGCTCTTTGCTTTGCTTATGCGATTTTTTTTTTCAAATAGATACTCTATACTTCAGCTAGACACTCTATACTTTCATATTAAATTTGACTTTCACAAATTTCACAATATTTTTTTAGGTACAAAATGCAAGACGAAAAGTTTCGACGTCGAGCCGCTTTGTGATATGATTTTAAACAAGGAAAATCCGCGGCTGAATCGCATCAGACAATCATTGAAGACAATTGGATTGAGTTCAATGACATCAAGCAAGTCCTCATCTGAAATCTCTTGGGGTCGTCCAGACCGTTCCTCGTCTTGGAGACTTTCATTTCCATCTTTTAACCGCTGAACGCATCAGACAATCATTGAAGTTTTTGGGAAAGACAGCATTAGCGAAAGACAATGCCAAATATGGTTTCAGCGGTTAAAAGATGGAAATGAAAGTCTCCAAGACGAGGAACGGTCTGGACGACCCCAAGAGATTTCAGATGAGGACTTGCTTGATGTCATTGAACTCAATCCAACCCTTACCACTCGAAACTGTCACCGCTGATTTTTATTCAAAACAGTTGATGAGAGTTAACGAGGCTTTAAAGAAATTGAGTGTTGAAACATCAGAATTGCTATTTTTGCATGATAATGCAAAACCTCACACTGCAAAAATCACTCACCAAAAAATCGACGAGCTTGGTTGAAAACTTCTGCCCCAAGTCCGGACCATCAGATTATTACGAACCATCAGATTTAGTCCGGACCATCAGATTATTTTTTTGTTTCGGTCGTTGAAGAGTTTTCTTAGGGGAGAAAAGTTCGAGAATCATGCACAGATCAAAAAAAGCAATCGACACTTATTTTGGCTCGAAAACCCCCCATTTTTTTTGAGGATGGGATCAGGGATTTGCGACAAAGATGGGAACAAGTCATCAATAATAATGGAGAATATCCCATTGATTGATGTGCGTTTGTTTATGTTTTTAGCAATAAACAGTTTTGTGACAAAAACGGACATTACTTTTTCCTCAACATAATATCAAGTTTATGGAGCTTCTAATATGTTTAGAATCGGGGTTGGGACAAATGCGACCTTTTTTTTGCGCACCTGGACATTTGCGCACCTTTTTTTGCTGGAAAAGGCCTTAGGAAAGGTCGTAGAGCTTCGAAAATGTTTCCATATAAGGGAATCGTATGCGTAGATTCCGAATTTCGACAAATCAGAACTCGCTGACACGTCAAATTTGGGCTAAAAGGCAAAAACTACGCAACTTAACGCTTTTCGCATTTGTCCCACCCCCTTAGAATCTCTGTTTAGAATCTAGATGATTCACCGATTATTTCGAGATATCAAATCTAGATATCATGATCCTCTATCAAAGTAAAGTTCTTCAGACATTTGAGTGTTAGGGGCTGGGTCGAGTCTGTGCTTGAGGAGAGAGTTGAAGGGGAAGTGGCCCGCCCCTCGCGACTCCCCTCCTCTCCTCAATGATCCCATTTTTGCAGAAAGAGCTTTCACATGCTCTCTTCCACCATCTTCCCAACTCAAAACTTCTACAAATCTTTACAAAGTCTCGTCTTTCTTTTCGTCTATTTCCAAATTCTATTCGCCTATCCGTATACAGAAGACCCGACTGAGACTTTTAACGAGCAAACCTGCAGTCCACAGTGAGTACTTTTTTTTCTTTGATTATCGTTTTTCTTCGATTCTCGTTTTTCTTTGATTCTCGTTTTTCTTCAATTTCTTTCTCTTTTTCACTCCTTTTCTTTTCAAAATCCTAACAATGGTAATGGGAAAATGCATAAATTGAGAGTCCTTTTCCCCCACCACCTTTCTCATCAATCAAACAGCAGAAATCCCGTTTCTTTCCGGCAACTACAAATCAAATTCCTCGTAAACGAAAGGATTTCTGTTTTCCCCGATATTATCCTGAAAAAAAGTCAAGGAATTTGTAATCGAAAACTAAAGAGCTGAGGATTGGATCATAGAGAGGCGGCTCGGGGAAACGAAAAGCGGCCGATAACGAGCTTCTATTTTCGAGGGGAATCGCGAAAGGCAATGGCAGCTAAAAGTTGTGTGGTCGTCGAATTTCCATTCACTCTTTTTCAGTGGTTAGAATTTAGATGAGAAGAGCTTTTCATTAACTCGGCGCTTCCCTCAATCCCACATCTCCTTTTCATTCATTTCCTTCACTCTTTCTGGTTGGGGTTAATCCTTTCATCAGGATCCTTTGACTTTCACTCCTCCCCGAGATCCTCTAGAGTCTCTTTAGAGAATTGCCCTCGTCAAGCGGATCCCTAAGCTAATTAGGAAACTCGTCTCAGCTCTACTTTTACAGTAATAGCTTCATTATTAAACGTAACTCGTGCTTTGCACTTTGAAAAGTTGTCAGCAACACATTTGAGTATGGAAATCATATCAAAAGATGGAAAGATTTGGGCCTAGTTACTGACAAAGAGTTCTAAGGTCTAAGAAAAGAGCCAACCCTTGCCCTTGCCCTTGCCCTTCCTCCGTTTCCCTTTTGGTACTCCCGTGTCTCGAGCGTAAAATCAAATTATTGCCCAGCGACTCGCCTCTTGCCTCTTCTAGCCTTGTGTATGTGAGTCTTTCTGGCCCTTTCTTTGGAATGAGAGCTCTGGCCAGCACTGATTGACCCTTCCTCTTCGCAAAACCTCTAATAGCTGTAAGGGAAAATTTTTCAAGTAAAAGCTAGCCCCTAAATAAGCCAGGGCTTTCTCGTCTTCTCCATTTCTGGTCATAAAGAGCGAAGCGAATATGAACGATGGATGATAAATGATGTCACTCTCCATAGCTGCACTTTGTCTCCCACCAAAATAACTTTACGATGGGGTATTTTTGAGGCTTTTGATTGCTTTGAGTTTAGCCGGAATGTACAGTTACAAAAAGCTCGACTTTATTCCCGACTTTATGTTCGCCTTATTTCCCTTTAGTCGATTCCTATTTAGTGACTTACTTGGGGTTAAAGGAGAAACGGAAAGCCATAGAATGAGCTAACTCTTTGCCTTTTCTTTTCAACCAAAGCCCCGTCCACGTGCCTCACAAAATTTTCTTTTCTTTTCCCTCTAAGTTAATGACACCGCTTAATGCTTGGACTTAAAATAAACCCAGAAACATCATGGAAATCTGTCGAAATAGAAATCTTTTCACTAAGCTAATAGAAATCTTCATATTGTCAGTTGATTTGATAATGCGATTTGATAATTTTGCACAATACATTCGTCCACAACTAAAATCGATGCACAATGCATTTTTGAGTGCCAAAAGCCGACAAAAGAGAGAGTGAGGAGGACTTTTATGGTTTGCATTCATGAGGGAAAGAAGCGAAAAAGGAAAAGATATGAGTCTATGGAAGTAAGTCGAGAAGCGGGGTATTCATCCAAGCCCATCTCACTCCACCAGAACAAGACCCGAACAAGGCGACCCTTGGCATGCTCACTTGTTCCGCTCTTCAGGGAATTCCTCAATTCTCCAACTTTCCCCAAACAAAGTCCAAACTAACTCGGTTTCCCCTTTCAATTGTTACGTTTTGTTTAAAAAATATTATTCATTTCTGATCTGCTATTGATTTCTATAGTTTTTTTTATAGTTCCATAAGCACTTTGCACTTATTCCAAAATCCTAAAAGCTAAAAAAAAAGTCTCATAATTCATGTGAAAGAGAAAAAGCTTTTAGATGCCACGAGCAGGTGTCGGATTTTCTGTCGTATCATGAGTGCTGCGGGGACTCGTGTTGCCATCGATATCGCTTCTGGGTGATGTAAGTGTTTCACTCTACACTTCACTTCATTACCCTTTTGCTAGGGAATAAACTCTCCCACATTCATCTACTCATAACAATACGTTCCACGTATTGTTCACACATACTTCTTCAGAAATTAGTGCTAGAAATTACTCAAGAAGAGGATAATATGTGATCCAGAAGATATTTCTTATAAGAATTGCAGAAGAGTGCTGAAAAGTGCTGATTGAAACCTTCTCTTTACCTTGTATTCCCTTTTTCTTTGTTAAGCAGACCACTGGGTAGTTCAGTGGTTAGAGCATCAGCTTAGAAAGTGAAGGTTCCAGTTGAGGTCGAGGGTTCAAAAGAATTGCAGAAGAATGCTGAAAAGTGCTAATTGAAACCTTCTCTTTACCTTGTATTCCCTTTTTCTTTGCTATGAACACCACACCGGATAGCTCAGTGGTTAAAGCATCTGCTTAAAAAGCGAAGGTTCCAGTCGAGGTCGGGGGTTCAAATCCCTTCGCTGGAAATCTATTTTTGCCTTTTAGCATTTCAATAAAAGAATTCACTAGTATTTTCCAATACAATACAGTAAGCTTTCATATATTAGATGTAACACCTGTTAAACATGTTAAATAAACTATTATGTGCAAAAATTTCAGACCTGGAATGATTGCAGCGATGGGGTTTTTCGGCGGCGCTTTCTTCGCTCTGTGCTTTCAATGTCGGTGACGCACCTCTTTTTTTATATCTCTCTTTACAGCTCAATTTTTAAGATTTAATATCCTTTCTATGATTTATTCCGAATTTTGATCTCAAATACGGATACTCAACTATAGAAATAACGTTAAAAAAACGTAAATAACGTAAAAAAAAACTTCATTTAACCCATCCATTTGTGCTCCTCACTCTGCTCACTGTGATTCTCTTCTTTTCGAGAAAAAAAAACCCACATTTTTTCACGCCGAAAGCAATTGTGATCTTTTCTAATGTTTTTTTCTTTCTATATCTTGCCATCCGTAGATAGAGAATAAATATAATGTACGATGTTTTATTTTTAAACAACATAACAACATACATCTCAGGCTGTATAAATTTTCAGGCATTTCAAGCAAGCTCAAAATCTTATCTCAAAGTTTACATCATAGTTTTGCCCGGTTCAATTACCCAAAAAATACTTGGCCATCTTAATTTGTGGTTCTGTATTAAGATTTTCAAATTCTCCACATTTCTCTGAATCAATTTAGCTTTTAAATGCAATTTGATTGCAATAATTGCAATCAGAGAAAGCGTTTATCAGATTTCCGGCACCGAATCGTACTTTACATTCCATTTTTCTCATTATATTGTGCTATTTTGATTGATCGATTTGTTTAAAATCTATATTTGTACAGGGCTCAAAGCAATGGGAAACAAATTGTGTTTACATTTGAGGCTGTATAAAAGCAAGCTCAAAATCTTATCTCAAAGTTTACATCATAGTTTTGCCCGGTTCAATTACCCAAAAAATAGTTGACCATCTTAATTTGTGGTCCTGTGTTAAGATATTCAAATTCTCCACATTTCTCCAATTCAAATTCTTCAAATTCTTCAAATTCAAAGATATTCAAATTCTCCACACTTCTCTGAATCAATTTAGCATTTAAATGCAATTTGATTGCAATCAGAGAAAGCGATTGCAATAATTGCAACCAGAGAAAGCGTTTATCAGATTTCCATCAGATTTCTATCAGATTTCTATCAGATTTCTATCAGATTTCTATCAGATTTCTATCAGATTTCCATCAGATTTCCTGCACCGAATCGTACTTTACATTCGTTTTTCTCATTATTGTGCTATTTTGCTTGATCGATTTGTTTAAAATCTATATTTGTACAGGGCTCAAAGTAATGGGAAACAAATTGTGTTTTCATTCGAAACGTACGAAGAAAAAAATATGAAAAATGATGGACTTGAAGCGGGAATTCACTCGAAACGACAAAAAGAAAACAATTTTCCGACAAAAAGCATTCAAGTGATGGGAATTTCTTCAAGAAAAAAAAAACTCGAAAATTCCATCTATCTGCAACAAAATGGCGAGGAAAAACGGGCGAAATTTTGGCTTTAAGAATTCGGGAAATTTGGGAATTCTGGGGGAAATGTAGGGAAAATGTAGGGGAAATTTTGCTGAAAAAACCCCCTTTTAGAACGAAGTTAGAGTTTTTTCTTTGAGAAAATGTAAAATTTCGTTTAGTTTACTTTAGTTTAGTTTGGTTTAGTTTAGTTTAGTTTAGTTTAGTTTAGTTTACTTTAGTTTACTTTAGTTTACTTTAGTTTAGTTTAGTTTAGTTTAGTTTACTTCAGTTTACTTTAGTTTACTTTAGTTTAGTTTAGTTTAGTTTAGTTTACTTTAGTTTACTTTAGTTTACTTTAGTTTACTTTAGTCTACTTTAGTTTAGTTTAGAGTATTTACTAGTAGGTTGACTTGAATTTATTAATGGACTTGAGTAGGTTGACTTGAATTTATTCATTTTAACCAAAATCCCAAAGTTTTTCTCATTATAAATACAAAAATCCCTTCATAATCTGGGAAATAATAAATGAAACCAAAAAAAAGAGCCGATTTTACTTCCAAAAGTTAGTTGCTCTATCGTAATCGCTCATCGTAATCGTAACAAGAAAAACTTTTCTTTATTGATTCTTGAGAGAAACTGGCCTGTTTGAGGGAGATTTAAAAAAGAAAAACATAAAAACAAACGAAAAAAAGAAAGAAATTAATAACAAAGTAGAATAATAATGTTTTAAAAGAATAGAAAAATAGAAAAATAAAAAAATAGAGAAATGAAGAGAATAAACGGTTTGATTGGGGGAAAATTAAATTGAATTTAGTTATTTCGAGTTAAATGAAGTTAAATGAAGTCAAATTAAGTCAAAATTTTTCTTTTCTTTACAATAGAGTTTTTGATTTCTTTTCTTTTTAAAATAAAACTATTAATGCAAAAATTTGGCATTAAACTATTGAAATTCGAGTTTTATTCTTCTCTTTTATAGTATAAATAAACGAATCGCTTTAGAATGACAATAAAAAGAGGACAATAGGACAAGTTAGTTAAAAAGATCTTTCAGATCAAAAGAACTTTCAGATCGAAAGCTCTTTCAGATCAAAAGATCTTTCAGAACAAAAGATCTTTCAGATCAAAAGATCTTTCAGAACAATAGCTCTTTCAGATCAAAAGATCTTTCAGATCAAAAGATCTTTCAGGTCGAAAGCTCTTTCAGATCAAAAGATCTTTTAAATCAATAGCTCCTTCAGATCAAAAGATCTTTCAGATCAATAGCTCCTTCAGATCAAAAGATCTTTCAGATCAAAAGATCTTTCAGGTCGAAAGCTCTTTCAGATCAAAAGATCTTTTAAATCAATAGCTCCTTCAGATCAAAAGATCTTTCAGATCAATAGCTCCTTCAGATCAAAAGATCTTTCAGATCAATAGCTCCTTCAGATCAAAAGATCTTTCAGATCAAAAGATCTTTCAGGTCGAAAGCTCTTTCAGATCAAAAGATCTTTTAAATCAATAGCTCCTTCAGATCAAAAGATCTTTCAGATCAATAGCTCCTTCAGATCAAAAGATCTTTCAGATCAATAGCTCCTTCAGATCAAAAGATCTTTCAGATCAAAAGATCTTTCAGGTCGAAAGCTCTTTCAGATCAAAAGATCTTTTAAATCAATAGCTCCTTCAGATCAAAAGATCTTTCAGATCAATAGCTCCTTCAGATCAAAAGATCTTTCAGATCAATAGCTCCTTCAGATCAAAAGATCTTTCAGATCAAAAGATCTTTCAGGTCGAAAGCTCTTTCAGATCAAAAGATCTTTTAAATCAAGCTCCTTCAGATCAAAAGATCTTTCAGATCAAAAGATCTTTCAGATCAAAAGATCTTTCAGATCAAAAGATCTTTCAGAACAAAAGATCTTTCAGATCAAAAGATCTTTCAGATCAAAAGCTCTTTCAGATCAAAAGATCTTTTAAATCAATAGCTCCTTCAGATCAAAAGATCTTTCAGATCAATAGCTCCTTCAGATCAAAAGATCTTTCAGATCAATAGCTCCTTCAGATCAAAAGATCTTTCAGATCAATAGCTCCTTCAGATCAAAAGATCTTTCAGATCAATAGCTCCTTCAGAACAAAAGATCTTTCAGATCAAAAGATCTTTCAGGTCGAAAGCTCTTTCAGATCAATAGCTCCTTCAGATCAAAAGATCTTCCAGATCGAAAGCTCTTCCAGATCAAAAGATCTTTCAGAATTTAATCTATTTTCTGAATACTTTCAATCCGATTTTACTGTAGGTTAATTGTAGATTGACTAAAATCGGAAGTTTAGACGCAGTTTAGTTTAGACGAAGGCTAAGTTTTAGACGAAAAAAAAACTTACAGTAAGATTATAACAATGAAGAAGAAGAAGGAAAACTTTGGGAATCTATCAACATTTTTTTTTTTAATGAATCGACTAAAAATTAACACAAAATTAACGCAAAATTGACGCAAAATGACGACAAGAAACGGGGATTTCGTTTTTTCTTAAGGCAACTCTAAAGGGGGGCTTTTAAATTTTGTGAAAAAGAAAAAAAAAACACAATAACTGAAAAAAAAAAAAAAGAAAAATTTTCGATAAACTTTTTCTCTGAGAATGGATATAGATTTCTAAAACAAAAAGGGAATAATCTTTTGTATAAGGGAATAATCGTTTCAGTCGCATAGGCTAATCAAAAAAAAATAGATATACATGAAAAAGAATAATAATAATAATAATAATAATAATAATAATAACAATAACGCTTTTTTCTTTTTCACTAGTACTCGTTTCAACAATTTCTCACTACTTCGCTTTTTATTTTCCTGCTGATTTTTGTACATTAGAAATTTTTAAAAAAATAATTTCTTTGACTATAAATGGGCGCTAATTTGTGTTCTAAAAGCTATAAATAGTAAGATGAATACAGGGAATTGGATTAGGAGATGATGTTATCATAAGTCGAAAAGAGGTCATCGAATGTGCCTGATTGAGGCGCTGTGTTCATCATGTAGAATTGACGTACTGTGCTTTCCTGAAGAAAAGGGAATTATGAACCTTTTATCTAGCTATTATCTAGCTATTATCTAGCTTTTATCTAGCTTTTATCTAGCTTTTATCTAGCTTTTATCTAGCTATTATATAGCTTTTATCTAGCTTTTATCTAGCTTTTATCTAGCTATTATCTAGATATTATCTAGCTATTATCTAGCTATTATCTAGCTTTTATCTAGCTTTTATCTAGCTTTTATCTAGCTTTGGTGTTTCTTATGTTTTACAAAACTTCTAACAAACCCATGTTTCGAGGAATTGCGTGATCGTTCGTAAACCAGGCGCCGCTAAACGCTCGTGAACCGCGTTTTGCAAATCATCATAGAAGTAGGCGTCTAAAAGTTTTCCCGTACAGCTTTCATTCATATTTTTCCTATGTACTTTATCACTTTATCAACTCACCAATATCAAGCGCTGCTCGATCAACTGAAATCATTCCATTTGGATAGTGAATTGGCACAACCAGACGCAATAGTGGCACATTATGAGACTCTGAAAAGATTCAATAATCAATTTTTAATTGAATATTTAAAATTATGCCTGTAACACTTACTCAGTTTTATCTTGACGATTACTGTGTTTCCATCGTGACTCTCAATTTGGTTGAAATCGGTTTCAAATCGACTAGACAGATGTGCCAACTCGTTGCGTGCTGTTTCCGACAGCATTCCCGATCCCTGAACATATCACAAAACTTATTTTTTTTATTTTAAACAATGGTTAGACTAGGTAAAGTTTTGCTTTGAGTTTTAGCAAAGCACAAGATCTAGAAGATCTATAAAAATTAGAGACCCTACTTAACTTGAGAAAAAAAGTAGAAAAAAACAAAAGAAAAGGAAGGAAAGGAAAGGAAGGAAAGGAAAGGAAAGGAAGGAAGGAAGGAAAGGAAAGGAAAGGAAGGAAGGAAAAGAAGGAAAGGAAGGAAGGAAAGGAAAGGAAGGAAAGGAAGGAAAAGAAGGAAAGGAAGGAAGGAAAGGAAAGAAAGGAAAGAAAGGAAAGAAAGGAAAGAAAGGAAGAAAAGAAGGGAAAGTACACCGTACATCATATTGAAATGAAAAAAAGATCCAAACAGGTAAAGAAGCGACAATGAAACTGTAAGCAAGGGGATTAATGACGAAAACTAAAGCCGGTACCCGGTGAGCATTGTGACGTTGTTGAGCATTCGGTGGTGGAGGGCCTTGTGGAGTGTCGAGTGGAGTCGGCAAGAAATCGTCGACCAAACCGTAGAAAGTCTCATCTTGTGATTGACCCTGAAAAAAGAAGCACAATCACTGGATAGACTCGAGAAGCCTTTTTCCCGCTAGAAACCCCTTTTCATTCTAAACCAATAAACTCTGTGAAAGTCTAAAAAAAAAAATTCTGAAAGCCACACGTGCAGACACAAATCGGTGATGTTAAAGAGACGAGTTTCAATCTGTGTACTCCTTTTGACTAAAACATTTTTCTAAAGCTACCGTAATCTTGTCATCGATCTATCCTCTTTGATATCCTATCATAAACCTCTTCTAGAATTAGATCAAAAGTGAATAGATTAGATAAAGATTACGGTAGTTTTTGAGAAGTTCTTGAAAACGAATTATTCAAGAGGAGCTAGTGAATACTGATGAAGTTAAAAAAAAAGAATAGGAAAGACAAGGACTGACAGGAGAAAGAAAAAAAAAGATAGAGTGAAAGAAAAAAAACGATTGGTAGATTACCTGATTTTGAATTTGATGATTGTTCGACTGATTTGAAGGGATTGGGCACGGTGGAGTGGGTAGAGAAGATGTCGAGAGTGGTGACGAAGAGGGCATCACATAAACAGAAAGCTTAAACTTAAAGTTTCTTGAGGTTTTTTTATTTGCTTATTTGTATTTGCTTATTTGTAATTCCTTTTTTTAGTTTAAAGATGACTGGCTAATAAAAGAAAAAGGCGGAGCTTTTTGTCAAGATTGGCCTTACGAAACATCGACAATTCGCTGTTTTCATTGTTCTTCTTCTTCTTTAATTAATTCTTTAAAAAACAAAAAGATTTTCTGAACAGTCTAATCTATAGTTTGTTTTGTTATTTTTATTTTTAAATTATTATTTTGTGATCTCTGCCATTCAACGGTGTCACTGGAAGACGCAAGCCGACATTGTTGTTTTCATTCTTTTCTCCAATGCTTTCTCTTCTTTTCAGCGAGATTTATTTGTGTCATTATTGTTTAATGGTTTTATAAGATAACGATGAGTTGATGTTCTTCGACAATTCGAATTACTCTTGAAGTTTCAAACGCCATCAAATCTCCGACAAAACCCCGCTATAGGAAAAGCTTACGAGACGACTCCAGAACGAATGACTCAACATAAAAAAAAACAGTAAACTGCCTTTAGAAGCTGCCCGAACAGGTTCCGACCGTTGTTTCTCCTTGTAATTCTCCTTGTAATTATTCTGAGTAATTTTGCTAACATTTGTTGTTGTTTAGTTACTCATTTTGTTATTTTTGTCTTTTTTTTTTGCTTTTATTGTTCAATAAAAAATCCTACAAAACGAGTGCTATTTATTATTAATAATACTATAATAATACTATAATAATACTATAATAATACTATAATAATACTATAATAATTCTATAATAATTCTATAATTATTCTATAATAATTCTATAATAATTCTATAATTATTCTATAATAATTCTATAATAATTCTATAATAATTCTATAATTATTCTATAATTATTCTATAATAATAATCTATTTTTTTTAAATTCTATAATAAACTTTTAGCCCTTTGTTTATAGACTTTTTCAAATTCAAACCGCGGTCAGGGCCCAGAAGTGGCTCATTCCTTTTGCAAATTCCCTTTGCTTCCAATGCCTCTTTATCAAATTCATTTCCCGTTAGAGCCGCTAGATTATGGAACTTGCTCCCAAACGACATACGAGAAATTCAGTCGCTTTTCATATTCAAGAAACGTATCGATGCTTTAGATCTAGTGGCTCTTTGCCGTAAGTAACTGGCTTATTGATTTCAGTATGTATTGTATGATTAAGTATCACTGTGCATTTCTCTATGGTTTCTTTCACTTTATCGTTTGAATAAAGTATTATTATTATTATAACTATAATAATTCGCACTTGTGCTCGTTTAAACATTGATTTTCGTGTGTGTGTTTTTTTGTTTCTTACTTCTCTTTACCGATTTCTCGTTACAGTATACCGTAAATACTCTAATAAAACGCCACCTTCTCGTACAATCGCGTAGTCTACCGTAAATACTGTAATAGTATCCCAGCCCCATATGACAGTGCGGAGCGTTGCGTAGTCTAGCTTTGAACGAGTTTTTCTCGACACTGGTTTATGCTACAATGCGCGCTTAGGCATCAAAAAATAGCTGAAATTCAGGGGTATTTTATGATACCAAAGATGCATTTTTTGAAAGTACGGGCGCTTTAAAAAAAATGAAATACTAAAAAACTCTTGTGACTACGCGACTGTACGAGGGGGTCGGGCACTATTAAAGTATTTACGGTAACTTCTTTTTAGAAAATCATTTTTTCTCAGTTTCTAGGTCTATCTCAGCTACATTTTGGTACCAAAAAATACTAGATTTCAAGGGCTATCATTTAACACTCAAGCCCACACTGTAGCTTAAAGCAGTGTGGAGAACGGGACGTTTAGACGGGAAGTTAGACTACGCGATTGTACACGTCATTATAAGGTGCCGTTCTATTAGAATATTTACGTTAAGTGAGGGCATTTTAATGTTTTCAAAAATCTATGCAAATTTTAGCATTAAAGTTAAAGATACTGTAAAATCTTAGCTTTTTTGCATCGCTACTTGCATCATTCTTAATGTCTAAATATTTAATATTGCTTAAAAATATTCAAGACTGTATTTTTTTTTAGTTAAACTAAATCTATAAATCTCTTTCAAATCTTTCATTTGAAAATCGTTTGTGACAAAAAAAAAGTGAGAAGAAGTTAGTTGGAATTGGTGCTGCGTGATTTTTTTTTCTACACGAGAACGCCAAAAACAATTGGGATTCAAATAAAAATTTCTCAACGAAGAAGAACACTTAAAAAAAAGAGAGTTACGGTTTTAAGTAATTTATCAAAAATTGGTGACTAAAATTTCAGAGAAACCCGTAACTCTCCGATTTCTACAAAAGGGAAAATCAAAAAAGGATTTGTAAAAAAAAGGAGAAGTAACTAAAAGGTTTGGTAATCAAACACGGTCACTTCTTATCTGATTTTTGTGAAAAAGGGGGACTTTGTACTTTAAAAACACGAACCGATGGTGGTCCTTGTTGGGGTAGTCCTTGTTGAGGTGGCATTCCTTGTGGTTGACCTATTTGGGCTTGCATGTGAGCTGAAAGCGAGATTCACGTCAAGGATTAGATCAACTTTTCATTTTATATCATTTTTCACTTACTCGGTCTTTGTATTGGGTACGGTCTGTGGTGCTCGACGTGTTCTCCCCGGTAACCACCATGCATCGGGCCACCGCCGGCACCCATTTGCTAAAAAATGTTAGTTGATATTTGTAATTAAGAGTGATTACTAGGCAAACCGTAATAGTAATCTAAGACTAGTAATTGTTAGGTTATCCAGAGAGTCTTTACGTTTCTTTTCAACTTTCGTTTATAAATCAACAAATGCACCAATTGAACTACAATTTGTCTCATTAGAAAGGCCTATTACTTTTCTGCAAAATAAAATTAAAACTAGTTTTAAATGTCTTATGTCTGGATTTCTATGAAAAACACGTGTTTTCACTCTCGAATTTGCTTGAAAGTGAACCGAAATCGACTTAAAAAAGATGAAAATTGACTAAAAAACACTTTTTATTAGGTTTAATCGGTTATTTTTCAACAGAAGTATGAAAAGGAACGAAAAGAAATCTAAAAGACTTTCTGGACAGCCTAATAGAATAGTAATTATTGGCACTTATTGACCAAAAATAGATATAGCTTTAATATAGCTTACATGTGGTGCGAATTGTTGCTGCATCATCATTGGATGTTGATTTGGTGGAGCCCACATTGGTGGGCCGCCTGGTCCGCCCATTCCATAGCCATAGCTAAAGCTGGGATGTTATCAAAAAGTTCTTAAGAACTGCAGTCAGTTAAGTCTCAGTATTCGCTACAGTTTGGCTCAATAAGTCTTCAGTTTACGATTTACGATAGTTTCAATAATTACGATAGTTTTTTTAAAGTATTTTTAAAATCTTATCCTATTTTGACTGACCCAGGATGTTGCATCGGATCGTGCATCACCATTGGATCGATTCCTTGTGGTGGTCCTGTACCCGGGCTCATCATTGATGGTTGTACCTGAATTCGAACTCATTTTCCAGGAAAATCAAGTTTACACATTTTTTAAATGCTTGGTCGGCTTTAAGAATTTGATATTTGAAATAAAAAGAAAAAAGAACATTAAACCGATCAAGACTTTCACACACGCTGGACAACAGCGATACGCGTACTACAAATGAGAGGTTTTTTGGGTCTTAAAATAAACTGATATTTGACAAAAAAAAAAGTTAGTAGAAAGCTCTGACTCTGGGCTGAGCGGCCATGGGTGGTTGCTGCTGAAGTGGTGGTGCGCCGAACGGTGCACTTTGTGATCCCATCGGTTGCAGTGGCGGTGGTTGAGTGGCAGTGAGGGGTGAACCTCGAGAGCCGGGCGTCCCTCCCGTCGACGAGGTCATCACACCGCGATTCTATACAGGCACACACTACTCTCAGCCAAATGAATGCAAGATTTTCTTGGGAATAAAAGCCGATGTTCTTTGCCATTTCGAAATATTCCTGTGCTTTTTTTTTGACTTCGAACATCGACTTTTAAAGTTCTCAAGCAAAAGTTTAAGTCAAATTTCGTTTTTGATTCACAATTTGTCTATCCACCGGGCTTTTTAGCTAGTAAGAGAAAAACTATAAGTGAGCTTTTATCTAAGAGTTACATTTTGCAGAGATCAGATAAAAATTCACTTTAGAAATTCTTTAACTCTAAAAAAAAGCCGCTGGAGAGTGACCAGAGCCTTTTTTTATATCAAAAAACGTAAAAAAAATAGGGAAAGACTTTGACCAAGAGAAAAAAAATCGTACAATATTAAACTTTGAATCTAACAAAGGGATTTCTTTGAGGGGGAAACGGGTGTGCACCTCACACAAAAAATGCGTTTTCTAAAACGTGTTAACTTGAGAATCGATATCTATAACTTTTCGATATCCTCAAAGAATCAAGTTAAGATAAACTTGAAAAAAAAACTATTATAAAAGAAAACTGGGGGTAGTTTTAGAAAACGTTTTTTGTTGAGGGGAACACATTCTACGGGGTAACATACAAGGAAGTCGGCTTTCTTGTGAATCCATGACTCGAGATTCGATAAATATTCCAACGAGACCACTCGTCGACCCTCCAACACACCAAGCATCGTCTAAATTTCAAAATTTGACCAATAAACGCTTTTTATTTCGAGAAAACTATAGCTTAATTGCTGAATCTTTGTCATTTTTCAACGAAAGTACGAAAAGAAACGAAAAGAAATGGAAAGACTTTCTAGAAAGCCTAATTACAAACCTCTAGTTTCCCTGCAGCATCCAAATTCCCTTCAAGTCTGCATTGTTGAGAACGAATTCTCAAATTGTGGCAATATGGCTTGAGTGTGTTGAGTTTCATCTGGTATTGTGCTTGCTCATTGTTCATTTCTTGACCCCCCAAATGCCCTTGAGCACCAATCGGTCCACCGGGCATACCCATGCCTAAATTTGTTGCAATTGTAATTTATTTTGTCTTTATCTTACCAGGATGTTGTTGTTGCATTCGTCCATCTGGATGTCCGCCCATCATGCTTTGATTTTGAAAATTCCCTCCCTGAGGAGTATTGATGAGGCTCTCAAGTACGCTTCCACCATGTCCCGGTCCATAATTTGGATCCATTCCATATCCTAAATCAAGAAATTCTTAGAATTTGCATTGTTATCCAACCTTGATGTGGTGCAGCCGTGGTTGGATAGTGTCTTCCTTGTACATCTATTTGTCTCATCCCACCCATCGGGCTCGGATACTGTGGACCAGGCGTCATTGGCTAGATGATAAAAACTTTTAGGAAGATCCCAATCCCTTACCGGCTCTCTTTTGACCATATTTGGTTGATAGGTTGGTTGATTGTAGCCACCTTGTTGCTGATTTAACATGCTTGGATTGTAGCCACTGCCAGGTGCCGGTCCGAAGTTTTGATTCATCGGGTTTTGCGGCTGCGCGCTGCTCATTTGTGGAGGTGGTTGTCCCATGGTTGTCTGATTGGTCTAAAATCATCTTAGCTACTTTTCTTCACTTCTTTTTTTACAAGTTAGGTTACTACCTGATGAGCATTTTGTGAAGGGAGGGGAGCAGGAGCCGATGGTGGAGTGCCAATACCTGTGGGTCCATTCTGTTGTTGACGAGCCTGTGTTGGTTGTGGGTCTGGAGGGACACCAGCACGGTACTAAACTTATCCATTGATTTGCTGATTCAAAAATGATTTACCTGTGGATTTGGTGTGCCCTGTTGTCCCTGTGATTGTTGAGACTGTGGGGTTTGTCCGGGTGACGGGAATGGAGCTGGCTGAAGGACTGGAGGCACGGCCGCTGATTTGCTGTTGCAATTGATTGCATTTATCACCTAAATTCAATAGTTAAGCATATGTTTAAGCAAGCTGAAAAGTCAGCTTTTAACCCTCAAACCTTTGCAATCGTGCGCATGTATTCATCTTTGGAGACACATTTTTGGAAAACGTATTCTTCGACCTAAAACCATGATTGAATAAATTTCCACAATTTAAGAAAAAAAAAAGTTTCTAAGATTTTCCCAGCCACAAACCTGTCGAGCATCACCGGGCACGGGTAGATTTGGAGCATTCTGACGATTGCGTGCCAACTCGGGCTCTCTAAAGCAACAATATTACAAGAGTTTTGGTAAATTTAGATTCAAAAATATTTATCTAAAATCCAAAAAAAAAATCACTCACAATCTATTGATGACATGATCGCGAAATCGCTGCGATGGCCAGTCCTCTTCGCTGGACATTCCGATGAACGGGCTCAGCTTTTTCGGTGGTCTGCCGATGCCAAAATTTGCCAACCAAAATCCCGAGTACTCCTAAAAAGAAATTTGAAAATTGCACACAAAATATCTAGGGTTTAACTTAGAAAAGGAAATTGAAAAGAGAAAAGTGAATGAAGGAAAAGATTGGGGGAAAAGAATTGCCAAATTGCCAAAAATTTTTATGGGGTCAATTAATCGTGGCTGATAATCGACAGGTGCATAGAAGTGGCAAACAATCTTTTTTTTTTCTTCTGTCATTGCAAAGATAAAGGTGAAATTATATGAAATTCATTGCCGGGAAAACATTTTTGATTTTGTTTTGTCAAAAAATAACTTTCGAAAGAGTTTTTGATAATTCGTTTTTTGAGCTAACTTTGCTTGAGTTTTTACGCCGGAAGAAAGGGATTTTTTTTGATGAAATATGACGAGACGCTCGGGAACACTCGACTGATAAGAAGCCGATAAAAAGGAGAAAAAAAAGAAGTGGAAAATATTTCCCTCACAAATTGAGAAATGCCTGTAAACGAGTGAATTGGAAAAACTAAAAAAAAGAATTGTTTAGCCATTTGATTATGTTTAAGGTTTACGTTTAAGGTTTACGTTTCAGAAATCACCCAGAAAGCCTCTTCGCACAATTTTACAGCATTCGCATTCCGCCACTCGTCGTGCAACCGCCTTTTCTCAGCTTCAACCCACATAAACTCGCGCATTTCATCAACGATTCTCGCTTGTTCTTCTCGTGTAAAACGTCGCTTCTTTTTTAAGGCATTGCTTGGTCCAGGCTTATCTTCGGAATCTTTTGATTCATTTGTTTTCTCATTGCTTTTTCCAATCGTTTTTTCGTGCTTCTTTCCTTCTTCTTGCTCCTTTTGTGCCTCTTTTTCAGTACCTTGTTGATCATCATCCAAAACGATAACTTCTCGATCTTCATTCATCTCTTTCTTCGTTTTCATCATCGCTTCTTTTTCTCGTTCTTCCTTTCGTTCTTCCTTTTCTTCAACTTCAATTTCTTTGTCTTTTCTTCTCGGAAATATAGATCTTTTTTGAATAGGTTTTTTGAAGAATATCTTTTCAGACATCAAAAACGAATGAAAATGTCGGAAAATGGGAAGAATGTGACGCCACTTTATAAGCACAGAATAAATTCGAAAACGAATATCGTAGGGAAAACAGTTCTATCAAAACAAAATATCGACTATTGTACTATTGTGTGCCAAGGAATAAATTTGGTGATCAGGGCTTCATTTAGACGATTTGGGGGAGTTGGAGAAAGGCTATCGGATGAAACGATCTACATTCATCCATCGTCGTATCGCTAAAAAAAGTTGAGAAGTTGAGACGGTGAGGAGGAGGCCATTTGATGCCTATCTCTCTCTCTCTCAATTTTCATTCATTTAACCCAGTTGAACACCGTTGCGATTTACGCAAAAACTCTTCTCTTGCATGCTCATTTATTATCGCATTATTTCGGTGAAAACTTTGGCGATCGGCTTTTTTTTTCGATGAGAGAAACGATTATGAACTTTTACAAGTAAAGGTGTTGCGAAAATTAGAAAAAGAGCTAGGGTTTTGTATAGAAAGAGAATATAGAAAAAAAAATGAATAAATCGATAAGTGAGTAAACAAACGAGACGAAGTTTGTAAGAACAAAAGTTTCAAAAAAAATTCTATCACTAATCCGCGCAAGTTACGCGGATTAGTGAATGGTTGTTTTTTTTGGTGAAACATCGTATTTTAGAGAAGATTTTGTATAAGAAGATTAGCATTAAAAAGAAGAAATTAATAGTATGAATGAATAGATTTTGAAAAAAAATGAAATGGAAAAATTTTGAAAACAGAAAAAAAAGTGCCAAAACAACAGGGTGGCGTAAAAAGTGTCGGATCGATTCGCGCATTTTGGGAGATTTTGATCGAAGCCGCCGATAGGGCAGATCGAAGAGTGATGGAAAGGAATGGAAAAGGAAAAAGAGAAAGAAAAAGGAGTGAAGAGGGGGAAAGGCATTCACAAAGGAGATGCCGATGCCACTGTGCACTCTCACAAATTCCAATGGCCGTTCCTTTTACAAACGTTAACATTTTGACATTTTGACAGCTACAAGACTCATTTGAGATTTTGAGAATAAAAATTTAGTGAATAAGACAAAAGATTTTGAAATTCGTCCAATGAAGCTAGCTAAATTCGTCCAATGAAGCTGTTCAATGAAGCAGTAAATGTTTACAATCTGATAACCGGGTTTAAATGTGGCTCAAGTGAGAATGCAGAAATCCGGAAATCAATAAATTCGCTTGAAATCATAAAGTTCATAGAAATGTCAAAAAATCGGCTAACAGTGAAACAAACGGATGGCGAGAAACGGGTCGATTCTTGACTTTCACTGAGCTTTGAGTGAAGAAAAAAAAAAAGAGGAGAGATGAAAGAAAAAGAGAAATGATGGGGGGCAACTTATCGTTATCAACACTGGGAGGAGATGGCCAGAGGAATCCCTGTGATCAGATGATTCTTTTCCCCGTGTATCTCTCTTGCGGATCTCTTTTGCACCTTCCCCAAAGAGATAATTGAAGTACTCAAAAAATATCTAACAGCAAACTTCCAAAACTTTTCTCTTTTTTACTTTTCAGGGTCATTGCGTGCTATTTTGACCGTTTTTGGTCGTAAATGAGGAAAGAGGAAAACTTTGAGAAAGTAAAACAGTTTTTGGTACAAACAGCAAGAAATATGAACTATAAAGAATAAAGAAAAGAAAGTTGAATGAACTTGGCTCGGAAGACCAGCAACGAGGTGGAGCACAAGAGTGGCAGAGACGGTCAGAGAAAGGATGGCTAGAGTGCAACCACCACCAGCACCAGCAAGTCGAAGACTTCGAACCAGGAACAATCAAGCTAAGAAACACTGGATGACAATAGCAAGGGATAGAGAAATGTGGAAGCAGGTTGTGATCTGCGCAAATAGGAACACCTGAGTGCGAAAAATGATAGAGTTTAATAAAGGAAAATTTGAAGAATTAATTAAATCCGAGTCAGAGAAAAGAAATCGAATCGTATGTAAAAGGAAATATAAGTTCTCAAATTAATGAAAGATTTAAAAAGAAGCAAAAATGAAGATGAGTGAAAATCGGAAGTAAGAAAGAAAAGGGAATTTGGAGGGGAATAGGGAAAAGAGTTGCCCAGGGTGATGTCCAACCGGATCTATCCCTCCAACCCCCTTTCTTCATCTCATGTAGGTAACCGAATAAGAGTTTTTCAAACTTATAAAATACACTTAATCTACAACAAAAACAAGCTTCATTTCCCTCGCCAAACTTTAGCCGATCTAAGTGACCTGCACTCATCAAATCCCCCATCAATTTGTCCGCTTTTTGGCCGTAGGTCCACCCCTTTTTATTTGCACAAATTCCTGTCAGGAAATTAGTGTTTATTTTAGGGAAAAGCGGTGAATAAAACCATTTGCAAAACATTGACAAACGGTGAAAACAAAAAAAAGAAGAGACAAATTAAAAAGATGACGACAGAGAAAAGGCAAGATAATAATGTAAAAAGGGGTAGAAATAAGGAAACGAAGTGAGGAAAAGTCGAATGGAATGGCGCGAATTTTTCGGTGCATGTTTGAAAAAGATTTCCGGAGAGAATTGGAGTTATAATTAAAAAGGAAACGCGGGTGCAGAAGGAGTCTGAACAAGAAGGAGAAGGAGAAGAAGGAGATGAAGGAGAAGTGAGTGGGTGTTGCCGGGGCGACCTCAAGGGATGGGGAAATGGTAAGAGGGTAAGCCCGACGATCTCCTTAATCATTCCCTGTATCCTATTCCATCCATTTGTTCCCTCTAACTCTTGTTTTCGTCGTCCAGCGACTTATCCGCACTTATTCACAAAATCGGCTTATTTTTCCTGCCCTTCTCTTCTTGAATATCTAAATAAGGAAATTTAATCCAAAATTCTAAGAATCAAATTGCGAAAGAACAAAAAAATTGGTTAATATTGGTTAATATTGGTTAATATCGGTTTTTAGAAGGGAAATTCTAACAAAAATGGGTTGAAAATTGGATAGATGACCCGATCAACAGGGAAGCACAAAAAAAAAACCTAGCGATCGGTTTATGCCCATCGATGAGAATTATGAGAAAATTTGGCGTGTATGCAACTTGTGTGGCGGAGAAGAAAAAGGAAAAAAAAACGGGGAAAATCGGTGGAAAGAAAGAGCAAAGAGTGGCGAGAGACGGGGGCCAAAAAAAGAGACCGCGGGTTTTTTTTTGCGGGGCGGCGGGGAGAGCCAGGAAAGGGGTGTACCCGGCGTGTCATTTCGAGGAAAAGAAGACACAAAAAGGCGAAAGACTCGGCCCATCGATCGCTGGCTGTTCTCGGGGATCTCTCTTTTTGCCTCTCTCTTCACTTCTCTCTTCACCCCATTCACGACGGTCGGCGTCCAGAGCACCCAGAGCATTCTCCTTTCTTTTTTCTTTTCATCGCTTTTTCCAAAGGGAGCAAACACACGTGGGGTTGAATTGGAGAGATCAGTGTATGAGGAGAAATTCCCGAACAGACACTTCGTTCTCCTTTTTTTCCATGGGCGAGATCCTGGGAGAGAATTGAACCTTTTCTTCTTTTTCTCTTTTCCCTTTTCTCTGATGAGTCTCTCATTGCTGTCTTCAAAACTTCTTCAACAAAAACTCGCAACTTTTCCACGCATCTTCAACGGCTGCATTCCCTCGACTAGGATCATATAAGAAAAAAAAAACGAAAAATTAATTTTAGAGAGATTTAGATATATCTAGACATATCTAGACACATTTCAAGAAACATTTCAAATAATTAAAACAGATTTAAAAGATAAAAAACGATATAATGATCAATATAGAATCAATTTTCAAAAGCTTTTCAAAAACTTTTCAAATGATAAACAAATATGGAAACGGTTTTCGAGACCAAAAAAAGTGTTGATTGGATGCGGTTGGCGATAGGAAAAAAAAAAGGGAGAGTATGAAGAAAAAGATTGGAAGAGAGCGCCTGTTGAAAGCGAAAAGTAAACGGAAAACGGCTGGCCTTTGAGTTGACGGAGAAATAAGGAAGGGGAAAAGACAAGAGAATGGAATGGGGGAACCCCTGAGTGGAGGAGATCTCAAAGAGAAAGCAAAAGACAGAGCAGAGGTCGCCAAGTCTTTATTTATTATTCATTCATGGGCAATCAAACAATCGACATCTAGGTTTCTCGTTTGTAAATCATTTTTCATCTTCTCAGCCTCGAGGCAACAGTGACGAGAATCGCTGGCGAATCTCATTTGTAAACATTTTGCAAAAACAAGATAAAGTGAAGCTCTAGATATTAATTTTAAAACTATAGATTAATTAAAACTTTTTTGGCAGCACAAAAGTCGATTTTTTTAAGAATATTGCTATAGAAAGACTGAAATGAAACTGAAAATAATTGAGCAGGTGAGAAACTCTAGAAAAGACAGTGTTTAGAAAAGTATTCATTCAAAAATTTTTACCTCTTCCTCGTAAAACATCATTTAGAAAATTTTCAAAATATTCTCTAAAAGAATTTTCAGAATGTAAAGAGGTTTTGAAATTGTTTTTTAGAAAAATGGAAAGAGAACAAAGTTTTCATCGATCACAAGACAGATCTATTTCATTTTGTGAAAAGAAAGAGAAAGGATCAGCTTAAACTTTTTGTTGATCAAAAGTGCTCATCAATGTACCTTTCCTACACTCTGGCTTGTCTATTGAATAGTCTTGGCGATGATTTGAGTGCTTTTGACGGATTAAGGAGATTTTAATCGTTAAGTTACCCGGGAAACATCCCACGCACAGACTCTACAAATGACTTAAGTTTCTACAAATGAAAGAATTTCTGTAAAATTCTGTAAATCGATGAAATCGATTCTCAATCGATGAAATTTTTGCTTTCAGCAAATCGAAGAAAAGTTGCAATGAATAAATGGCGACTTTGATCGAAATTGGGTGAGGAGAAATGAAGGAAAAGAAAAGGAAATTGAAGAATCGGAAAAATGGGAAAAGACCGTGAAAATGGGACAACGGGTGCAGTGTTTGGAGAGAAAATAGAAGAGAGTCAAAGGGCAACAACTCCCCACTACAAGACAACCATTTCTAGAGTACCATCTATTACGATATGACAAGAGTCAAATTTTTATCTACTTAAACTGATTTTGATGATTAGATTGTAAAACAAATTGTCATTTGTGCTAAGTTTTAAACAGTTAACTTTTACAGTTAACTGTTTACAGTTAAACAGTTAACTTTTACATAACTCGTCGGGTATAAAAGAATGGAAATATTCAAAGAAGAGATCAAGAATTGCGTCTGAAAATGAGGGAAAGATCTCGCACACGAATGGGGAAAAGATCGAGTACATTTGTGGAGATGCTTTGGTTGTGTGACTGGTGGAAATGAGGGGAGAGGAAAGGTGAAAGGACGGGGTGAAGGGGTGAACCGAGAGCTGTTCAAATACTCACTCTCCATTCGCTCTAGGTGGTCCCTCTAGATGAAATTTGGTAACGAATCTAGAAGGACGAAAGTCAAAGGATTGCTCGGGGTACAGGTATTAGCTTGGTGAACAAGTCTTGATCACTTTTTTTGTACCTATTCTTAGAAAAGACCTGTCACCAATTCACCAACGATTTCCTCTAAACAGAAAATGTTTATCATTCACTTTTCTATCATTTCAAGTCGATTTCGATCTATTTCTAAGTAAATTCGAATGTAAAAATTTAGAAAAAAACTTTTACAAAGAAACTGGCTGAATAGATTGTTCTGAAAATTTGGCTTTATACCAAACTTTTTATGCTCTATCTTTTATCTATTGACACTAAGATAGGTTTCTGTGGACGAAAGTGACTAAATCGTATCTTCGGCTTGTCGCCTTCTATTAGGTACATGCATAAGAAATGCGGTTTTCAACATTTTCAACATTTCAATAGATTTCCAACGATAGAAGCCTGATATCGATGAATGTTATAAACTATTTGAAAGTTGTAAATCTCCTCTACAAAAACTACAAAATCTCCTGAACTTTTCTCAATTACTCAATTGTTTAATTGAACTTTTCTATAGCTATATGCAAACATTTTCCAAAAAAAAACACTATTGATTGTTTAGGCTGTGGTGAAGCTGAAATTCTCTGTGATACTTAGCCAGCTCAATGTGGGCGTTGTGTGGCACAAAATGATTTGCAACGATCGTGTGCGGATAGAAAATGTACATTATCTATTCTAGATGTAAAATGCGAATTTCAACATTTTCACAAATTTCCAACGATAGAAACCTGATATCGATGAATGTTATACTATTTGTTGTACTATTTGTTATACTATACTATTTGAAAGTTGTAAATCTTCTCTACAAAATAGGCTAAAACGTGTTTCAATTGATCGAACCCTTGAAGAAATTTCGAGGGCGAAATGCGAGTGACCGAAAAAAGGAATCGAGTCACTTTAGGGACACGTTTAGTGTGGTCAAAATTGAGTTAGCTTCCCAAAATTGAAGATTTTTAAAAAAAAGGATAACTATATATCAATTCATTAAAAAAAAGTCTAACGGAAATGCATTTACAGAAATTTAGATAGAGCGTAAGAAGTTCAAAACCCTCAAAACCGTCAAAAATTCTTAAATTCCGCATTTCTTATGCATGTACCTAATAGATTAATTAGATTCTATTACTTCCTTAAAACCTAAAATCTAAAGTTTCAATTTGAAAAACTAAAAGCTGCTTCGGAAATAGCTTAACGAATTCTATAAGCTGATCATTGTTAATTAAAAAAAAAAACACTACCTACCGTAAATACTGTAATAGTACCCCACCCCCATAATGACAGTGCGGAGCGTTGCGTAGTCTAGCTTTGAACGAGTTTTCTCGATACTGGTTTATGCTACAATGCGCGCTTAGGTATCAAAAAATAGCTGAAATTCAGGGCTATTTTATGATATCAAAAGACCCATTTTTTGAAAGTACGGGTGCTTTGAAAAAAATGAAATACTAAAAAACTTTTGCGACTACGCGATTGTACGAGGGGCGGGTGGGGTACTATTACAGTATTTACGGTATCTATTCTCTCAAAGTTTTCTCCACACTGCTTTAAGCTACAGTGTGGGCTTGAGTGTTAAATGATAGCCCTTGAAATCTAGTATTTTTTGGTACCAAAATGTAATTGAGATAAATCTAGAAACTGAGGAAAAATGATTTTCTAAAAAGAAGTTACCGTAAATACTGTAATAGTACCCGACCCCCCTCGTACAGTCGCGTAGTCACAAGTGTTTTTTAGTATTTCATTTTTTTTCAAAGCGCCCGTACTTTCAAAAAATAGCTGAAATTCAGGGCTATTTTTTGATACCTAAGCGCGCATTGTAGCATAAACCAGTGTCGAGAAAAACTCGTTCAAAGCTAGACTACGCAACACTCCGCACCGTCATTATGGGGGGTGGGGTACTATTACAGTATTTACGGTATGCTTTTTTCGAGTCAAAAGGTCTTATGTCAGCCCAAAGAGCCAAAACCCGAACTCTTGCCAAATTCGAAAATTTCTAACTTTTTCATACATTATTTACTCAATTACAAGGTACAATTTCTCTTTACAAAAATCAAAAATCTTTTGAAATCGTTCTTTCGCATAAACAACTGACCGGTCGGTCAGTTGTTCACAAATAAACGACAATCCCCGTCTCTCTTTTCTTCGCTCGGCTGTGCTTTTTATTTCGCGCCCCATGATGCCAGTAATTGTCCCAGACAACCAAAATTGGCAGATTTCCCTTTCTCTTAATCCCTTCTTTACCTTCTTAATAATAACTTTATATTACCAGATTTTACGAAAGAAGTTTATAAATTGAAAGACAATGCCAAGAAGCGCTCGATTGGGGAATGGAGTGCGAGGAGTTTTGAGAGAACATCTATCAAGACATGTTGTTTATGAAGAGGTAATTGAAATCGAGTGTTTTGTTTCGTTTTGTTTTTAATTAGCTAAATGTTTTCAGCTTCCTGCTCCACCAAATGAACCGTTTTATGAAGAAAATCAGGGTGAAGAAGAGTTTTTAACGATTGATGCGAGTGGAATGGTGATCGAGGAAGAAGTTGTCGAACAAGCAAAGAGAATGGTTTGTTTAAAAGCAACTAGTTATTTATAGCTTTATATTTACTATTAGTTAATTGCTTATAAAACAAGTTTTCTAGAAAACAAATTTCCAGGAAGAGTCTTCAAAAGAAGATGACCAAGGAAGGAATGGAAGACCGAGCTCATCGGTTGAAGTTCTTTATGCATCGTGTCCACCCGATCTCAATTTTGAACATATAAAGCGAATGACGAACTCACCGCTGAACGGTGAAGATATTGAGGTTTGGAAAAAAAAAGTAAGGTTCCAATACGGTTCTTTTTTTGATCTAATACGGTTCCAGTACGGTTCTTATTAGATCTGATACGGCCCGGATACGATTCTTTTTATCCATCCAATACGGTTCTTTTTTTGATCTAATACGGTTCCAATACGGTTCTTATTAGATCTGATACGGCCCGGATACGATTCTTTTTATCCATCCAATACGGTTCTTTTTTTGATCTAATACGGTTCCAATACGATTCCAATACGGTTCCAATACGGTTCTTTTTTGATCTAATACGGTTCCAATACGGTTCTTATTAGATCTGATACGGCCCGGATACGGTTCTTTTTAGATCCAATACGGTTCCAATACGGTCCCAATACGGTTCCAATACGGTCCCAATAAGGCAAAGAAAGATTTCCGAGGGGATTGAACCCTCGACCTTGAATGAAGCTTCTCAAGCAGGTGCTCTAACCATTGAGCTATCAGATATCTTGCTGCTAGAGAAGAAAGAGAGAAGACAAGGGGGGAGAGAAGGAAATAGGAAAAGTTGACATTGCTAACATTGCTAACATTGCTAATTAGTTCAAAGCTATAACAATAACAGAAACCTTTCAACTTTCAGATCACTCGAAATAGTGATGGTGTTTTGCGAATCCGAACGCTAGCCATATCAAATCAAGATCAAAAATCAGTAATGCTAAATCTAATCTAATAAAAATCACTTGTCTTTAGCACTACAATTTGCATGAAACTCAAATTTGTGGAGTTTGTTCACGAGAGATCGCCGTTCGAGAGGTCAAACACCAAAAGCTACTCGAAAAATCCCAATTTTTAGATTTTTTTCAACTTTCCTGATTGCTTAGATCGACGACGGATTTGGGGAAGTATTCTCGGATTTCAATATCAAGTAACATTCATTCTTGAAGTTTTTTAAATAGAAAATCTTCAGGAGATTCTCCGCGTGAAACATTCAAAGCACATCACCCAGTTGCCGATTTGCACGGATCATTTTTCTGAGGAGTGCTATCGACAATTTAATTACAACAAGGTTGAGAATAACCGGCTTTTACTATTAGAAGCTTTTCAAAAAATAGTTAATCAAGACCAGGCTAGAGCCGGATCAGCCAGTCTTGCCTGGATTCTGACTTTCTTGATCTTACAAGAGTTATAAGCAGCTTTGTTTTGATTTCGGATTTCAAAAATCATATCCCCAGTTTGTCGTTGAATTGGTAAACGTAAAATAAACTTGTATTTGAAAGGGAGAACGATTAACTTGAAACTTGAAAGGGAGAACTTTGTAAATCTAAAAAGCAAAGACAAAAGTTGAACGTCGGACTGGAACTAGAGAGAGTTTGCCTCCCATTCTGACCCACTACCATTCGGCTAGCACTGCTTCTTGCTGGAAATCTGGCTATAAACTCGAGGGGTGTTTTTTTGAAATCCTGACCCTATAAGTCTAATTTCTTTTCAATCAAAGCCCATTCCCATCATATTTTTCAGGCAGCAATTGAGGCTTTGGGTGTGCCAAAAGGAAGCTCTCCGCGAAAATTGCCGATCAAAATGTAATTGTCATCATCAAAACAATATTTGCGAAACTTTCTAGGAAACCCTGGAAGTGCACTGTTTGCTCGTTCTTTTCTTTTAGTGTCAACGAGACTCACTCTCATATGGTAACAAAATTTAGCAGCAATTTTCTTTTCAAATTTCGTTTTTTCAGCTTGAAACGCACGGTGATGATCAGGAGTTGTTTATTGGGAATAAAATGGGAGTCGCTTGTCCGTTTTGCCGTAAATGCACTTACGGTTACCGAACGCCGCAAGGTTTTCAACGACATATGAATGCTTCACCCACCGAGCATGGACACTTAAGGTTTACTAATATTTATCGATATTTATTTAGAAATTCGAATTCATTTTTTTTTTGGTAAATAAGCTAAATAAGTTAATGAAGATATAAATAATTTTTTTCAGAAAAATCTGGGAGCAAGCGAGATCGAACTGTCGGAGTGCCTATTTGGAACCCCTCTACCAATGGAATAGCTGGTCAGAGAAAAACGTTTGGTAAGTGAATGAAGAACTTCATTTACTTTAATTTAAAACCTACCGTAAATACTGTAATAGTACCTCATCCCCCATAATGATGGTCCGGAGCGTTGCGTAGTCTAGCTTTGAACGAGTTTTTCTCGACACTGGTTTATGCTACAATGCGCGCTTAGGTATCAAAAAATAGCTGAGATTCAGGGCTATTTTTTGATACCAAAGATGCATTTTTTGAAAGTACGGGCGCTTTGAAAAAAATAAAATACTAAAAAACTTTTGCGACTACGCGACTGTACGTATCCGTACTTTCAAAAAATGCATCTTTGGCATCAAAAAATAGCCCTGAAATTCAGGGCTATTTTTTGATACCTAAGCGCGCATTGTAGCATAAACCAGTGTCGAGAAAAACGCGTTCAAAGCTAGACTACGCAATGCTCCGCACTATCATTATGGGGGTGGGGTACTATTACAGTATTTACGGTAGAGAATTTTTAAGAATCAATTATCTAGTACAAAGTTCAGATTTTTCAGTTTGGCTTACTATGGATGTTTACCGTTGATGAAGCCGAATCGAAAGCGATCAGCTCCCTCACCAAAAGATAACACTCTTAAAGTCATCAAAGTTCACCAACAAAGCTCTCTAGAGAATAAGTACTTGTTGCAAAAAGATATTTTATAAATTTCTCAACTTTAGTCCAGAAAATAATGCCCAACCTGCTTATCCGGAACTCTTGCAAGAGGTTTGAATTTAAATTTTGGAAAAAAAAATTATAAAAACAATGTTTTTAGAATGTTCTCACCGATCATTTTTACTCGGAATCGGTAATTTTTAAAAAAATCCAAATTATACAAAACAAAATCAATTCTAGCAAGAGCAAGTTAACAAAGCTTATCGAAAAATCGAGATCTCACCTCAAAAAGGAAATCGCCCACAATTGACAACGTTAGAAGAAGTTCTTGTGAATGAGGTTTGGCAAGAGAATCACGATTGTAAATCTTTTTTTTTTTTCATTACTTACAAAATTCAGCCAACCGGAGTCGTTTATGAGGGAGAAGAAGTGATGACCCGACCATTCACTTACACTCTTCCACCATTGCCCCCACAAACGATCGACGATGAGAAATTGCAAAGGCGACAGGCTGCAGCGATAGAAGCTAGGTGAGTTAAACAAAGAAAGATCTAAAATTATCTAAAAAAAGGCTATATGGCATATCCAAGCCTGCATGTTCTAATATTGTGGGTTAATAATGTCAAGACACTTGGCGAATTTCTGTTTTGAGGTGCTTTGAATTGAGAATGTTTGTGGAGCGTTCAGAACAACAATACGGTCAAATTTAAGGCAAAAATTACACGCAAAAAAAGGCAAAAGGAAAGCACTTTATACCCGAGCGGTTTGCCAGATGGAGAGCGATTAGGCGAAAAGAACACACAAAGAGATTTTTCTTTTACTCTGCACACCCGTTCCTTTATGAGATTTGAAGCTACAAATTCGTAACCGGAGGTTTTCAGGGTCGGGAAATCGGAAAAAGCTATAATTGGATAGTCTTATTCGAAGGAAAACTAACAACATGATCTAGCTTACATCCTAAATGTTTTTCTTTATAAGACAGAGCTTTTCAGGCTACGTTTGTTTGGAGAAACTTCATCAGTCGAGCTCCCAACTGGATATTGTCAAATTGAGACTGAAGACGGGCCACGGCTTATTCGAGTTCACCGGTCTTCCAAGAAATTAGCTTCTTTTAGAAAATGATATTTATTCTTTTGCTTGTTTTTATTCGTAGGCTACTTGTTGAATCTCATCTTCTAATCTTTATTTGTTACTCTTTGTCAAGTAAGCATTCTGGTCATCAATGGTTGTTGAATAAAGTGTTATTCAATTTCAATAGAATTCAAGAGACTCTATCCCGTTATCGGTTGAATCTTTAACATTTTCTTAAGCTTTATTTTTAATGATAACATATGATAGTTGTTCTTTTATTTCTTTTTCTTCGTAGGTTCAAAAAAAAATATTTAGAAAGTAATCAAGCGGGGAAAAGTTAGTTTAAAGATGGGAAAATCTCTATTATATCTTTTTAGAAAGTAATCACAAAGAAGTTGAGCGAATTTCTAGTTATTTGCTTTTGAGAAATGAGCACCACAACGCCATTAACAGCGGGTTTATTCTCGACAAATCGTTTTCCATCGGAGAATACGAATACCAGAGTGACCCTCTATCTTCCGATCGGATGCATTATTTTCATCGTCAGGATTTTTCTAGGTAAATGATTTTAAATGATTTCTAGGTAAATTTTAAATGATTCAATTTATAAAATAAAATCAATGCAATATAATCTCAGGTTTACAAACATTTGTGGCAGCTTGTGTTTTACGAAAAACTCATGCTTTGAGAGGTCTTGTGTTGAGAGTGATGAGTGCACTGCTCGGTATTGTAGCCACATCAAGCGGGGAAAAGTTAGTTTCAATATGGAAATTATATATTTTTAATGCTCCATTATATCTTTTTAATGATCTATTATATCTTTTTAATACTTAATTTCCAAAAACAAATTTCATTTTCAGAGATGAAAGCGTTCGCGTTTTCGTGGCCAATCACATTTCATGTTTGGACCATATGGCTGTTGACTTGATCCGTCCTTGTCTTCTTCCCTCAGTTTGGGATATCCCAAATGTGTTAAGATGGTTGTGGATTTACTGTGAGATTTTAAAACCCTTAAAATTCTAGGTTATTCGGGTATGCTGACTTGGGAGTGAGATCGGGAAGAGGAGAGTTAGTCAGACAGGCACGATTGCATATCAAAAGCGATGATTTACCACTGCTTGCCCTGCCAGAAGCAGCGATGACAAATGGGAAAAAGGTAAGCCGCGTTCATTTTCGACAATTAAGCAACTCTCGAGAGAATGACATCTTTCTTATCTTTCTAGGCACTTCTCCGTTTCTCTTCGTGGCCTTTCGAGGTTTCGGATCGAATTCAACCGTGCACACTTCGTTTATCACGTCCATTCTTCAACGTTGAGTCAACGATAATTGGAGGTAAAGAATTTCGAAAAAATGATTACATTTCTATAATATTTTTATTGAATATTGAATTGAAATTGAATTGAAATTGAATATTAATGAAATTGAAAAGTGAAATCTTTTCAGCAAAGTTGTTTTAACGTACATCGATTTTATTATAGCTTCATGGTGGCAAGATACGTTGTGGTTCCTTTTTTTGCCCTGTACAATCATCAATGTGAAATGGTTGCCAACGATGCAAAGAGGTAAGAACTTTCGATTATCAAAAACACACTGAAAACAAAATTTACTGAGATTTTAGATGAGAATGAATCAATGGACTCCTTCCGAGACCGGGTTGCTCAAGCTATTGCAAACGAGCTTGGCATTGAGGTGAGAATAAAAACAAACATTTAATTCACACGAATAGCACAATCCCTAAGCCCTAGGGAAAAAGAAGAAAAAGAAAGAACCATCCAGTCGTCGGGGTGGAACCCTTGACCTCAAGCTCAAGCTATTGCAAACGAGCTTGACCAAGATACAGGACTCTTAACCAGTCGACCATCGTGGCAATGAAAGCTCGTCTAATAAACACAACTTTAGTTAAGCAATTGGACTTCAGCCGATGCAGTGGAGGCAGCCAAGAAATATCGACAAGAAACACAAAGACTGGTAGTTGATCTAGAAGTTGTTGAATATGAAATCTTTTCAGCGGATAGCCCAAGGAACTCCATCAAAACCGACAACATCGAGGACACTCATTGATCCAAAAAGAATGGATGAAGTAAGTTTTTAAATGTCTTTACTAAGAAAATAACACAATTAACAATTAACAATTAGAAAATCACACAATTACTTGTGATTTAGGTAGCAATGCGAATAAAGCAAAGTCACCCGACGGTCGCCTTGTTGAACATTCGACGAGATCTTGAGAAAACAAAAGATATGCAAGTTAGTGAAGAGAAAACTTCGATTAGAAGTTAATTTTTGGCACAATAAGAAATTTTATACGTACTTTTAGATATAGATTATAGAAATTATAGAAAATTGTTTGCAGAGTACAATCGAGAGGATAAAGAACGGCACAGTGAAGCCGATCTCTACCGCAGAACACCTTTCGAACAAGTGAGTAAGAAAAAAAAGTTGATAAAGCTAAAAATTTAACGCATAACAATGATAAAATAGCAAATTAGCAAAGCAAATTATTCACCATTTAACAAATTCTATTTAAAATACTGAATAAAATAAAATATTTTCCAGAAAATCCCCCGGTTCTTCGCCAAACGAGTGGCACAGTCTATACGAGGAGCGAAAATGGACGATGATCGAGGAGAATCGCGCGAAATACCTCCAAAAACATGTCGAAGATTGAATTCACGAATTTTGCCTCTCAAAATAGTACATCGGATTGTATTAAGACGTGTAGATAGCATAAAACGTATCTAATTGTAAGAAATTATCCCCATAAATATGAATTGCCCTAGATGTTCGGACAATAACCTTGGCACTTGTAAAAGAAGAAGAATAATTCTCTCAACGGTGCTTTTTCTTTCCCCAATTGATTGCTTTAGGCTATACGGTAAATACTGTAATAGTACCCCAGCCCCCTCGTACAGTCGCGTAGTCGCAAAAGTTTTTTAGTGTTTCATTTTTTTCAAAGCACCCGTACTTTCAAAAAATGCATCTTTGGTATCAAAAAATAGCTGAAATTCAGGGCTATTTTTTGATACCTAAGCGCGCATTGTAGCATAAACCAGTGTCGAGAAAAACTCGTCCAAAGCTAGACTACGAAACACTCCGCACCGTCATTATGGGGGATGAGGTACTATTACAGTATTTACGGTAACTACTTTTTTTTAAATTTTTAGTCATATAGCTGTTCTTTTTTTTCTTTTGTGATTATCTTTTTTTGGGTAAATGAACCGGGAGACCCTTTTTCTAATTGCTATCTAACTTTAGTGCGACACTCAAACAGAAAATGAAATTGTATGTACAGTACATTGGATTTCTTATAAGATATTAGCTAATGTGTCATTAAATCGTTTTTCGTTTTTTTTTGGATAAAATATTTCTACATGTGTGACTTTTAACAGCAGTCTTATCTATAGTTTTCCCGACTTTTCTTACAAACAGAGATTTTTTACAACTCGCGACAGCCAAAAACTTTCTGGAATTCAGAAGGAATCGACTCATTTGCCCATCCTTTTCAACGAAGAATCGACAAGAAACGCAACAAATTTGGGAAGAACCAATCAAGCTCTTAACCTATGCCAAAGGATCGTCTCATCTCTCCAGAAAAAGTTTGATTTTAGTTGTTTCCCCAGCTTTTATTCACCTAAGATGGTTTCCCAGTTAGATTCTTCGTCTTTACCTAGTGTTTTTCTCACGAATGCGCACAGTCTTGCCTTTAATAGCAATAATCGACTTAGTTTCTTTCAAACTATGACTCACTCGAAAATCTTTTCTTTTCTTGCTATTACAGAGACGTGGCTTAATGAATCTTTTGTCTCCTCTATTCTAGATCCCGAAAATAATTATTCTATTTTGTGGTGTGACAGATCTGACTCTAGACTTATGGTGTTGGCGCGATTTTCTTGCTTCTAAAATCTTTTAAACACTCCCAGATTTGCTCTGTATCTAGGTTTAACTGTGAATTTATTATAGTGGATGTTTTTCTGGCCAAAAAGACCCGCTTTTTCATTATTTATCGCCCTCCTGATGTAAATTTAACAACCGCATCTTCTCTTTTTGACCATCGATCGACGTTTCTAAATTCTGCTGAGTTAAACATTCTACTAGGTGATTTTAATTTCCGTGTAAGCTTTTTCAATGATTATTTTGCATTCGATAAATACCATCACCTCGCTATTTCACTTGAAAGTTTTCTTGTTATGAGCTCTCTTTTTATGTTAAATACATTTTCTACTTTCTGCCGTTCCTCTTCTATTTTAGATATGGTGATTTGTGACTGTCCGGACGACGTAATCGATCTGCAAAGTTTGCCCCCTCTCCCGGACTCTGACCACTTCTCAATCAGCTTCAAAATTGGTTCAACCTGTTTTACTCCGAAGGAAATGGATCAAGTCTGTTTGCATTTTGATTTTGATTATGACAAAGCGGTGGTGTGTATACTAGATTCTCTAAATCGATCAGATTTTTGTGCCTCCTCAAGTTCTCTTGACAAAAATTATGACATCTTTTGCGCTAGTCTCCTAAAATTGATGGAATTAGCGTGTGGTCATTATCCTTTAATGACCCCGCTGCACATCCTGAGAGCTATTAGGTTGATGCAAAAGTCTTTTTCATTTTTTTAAAAAGAAAATTAATACCAAAAATTATTTTTAAACATGATTTTAAAAAAAAAAAAAGGAAAAGGTTAGATATTTTTTTTGAGTTTTCGAGGAATTTGTTTAAAGTGGGACCAAAAAAAAAAAAAGAAGGTTGAACAATTTATAGAACCTTTGGTTATTGATGACTTTGTTATTTTAAAGGAAGTGGAAAAAATTTTAACCAAATAGAAGTAGACTAACCCATTTTTTTTCCGTCTTTTCTATTATTTAAAATCCTTAAACGATCCTCTAGTTAGCAAGGAACTGAAGAAGCTCTTCAAGTATTGTCGTAAATTTGAGGAAAATATGAAATGCCATTAAATCCAAAAATCGAAAGTCTTTTTACACATATATTAATTCTAAAACTAAGGACCCAAATCAAGCTCCAAATTCCTTTATTGCCTCATCCAATCCTAAGTGAAACCTTTTTAGACCCCCAAAAAAATTGTTCTTGAGTTTGCTAAATTCTTTTACAGCGTTTACAATAACCAGATGCCTAACGAACTTTTTCCAGCTTTTCGACCTAAACAGACCCCACCACAAGCAAATTTCCTCCTTACATTTAGCGACATCGAAGCTGCTTTCAAAAAGTTGAGACCCAAAAAATCGCTTAGTCCAGACAAAATTTACTGCTTTTACTCTAAAGAAACTGCAAAGTTCTAGTCTATCTTCTTGCTAAATTCTTTAATAAAATTTTACTTGTCTCTGAGGAAAAAATCTTTTGTGTCGCCTCTTCTCAAAAAATCCCCCGAGAACATATTCGCTAATTACCGTCCCATTTCTCTAACCTCCCCTGGGACAAAACTTTTTGAAATTTTCATAAAAGAGAAAATTTTTCTTCATTTTGACAAATACAACCTTTTCTCTGACCAACAGTTTGGCTTCCTTAAAAATAAATCCACCACTGCTCACTTTATTTTAGCCTATCAATCCTTTCTCAAAGCTTTAAATCAAAAAGAAACATTCGGCTCCCAAAATATTATTTCTCAACGAACCTTCAACTTTCAAAGTAATTCTAAACAACGTTCTCTCTCCCTTTTATTGTCCTAGCGAGGTTCCTCAGGAAAGTATTCTTGGCCCTCTTTTATTTACTATTTATATTAACGAACTATCTAGCTGTCCTTTCAAATCAAAAGCTTCCCCAATTTGACTCTATGCGGATGATGTTAAGCTTACGTTTTCCCATCGGAACTCAAGTAGTTTCGCCAGCGGCAGTAAATGATGCAAATCACGATTTAGAACTTATCAGTATGTGGTCCAAAACGTGTAAGCTTTCCTTATCCCCTCAAAATCTCAACACTTTTCCACTGGGAGATTCAGTTTCTCTTTGGTTATTAACAATATTCCTATCAATTACATTAATAAAGTTGATTTTTTTTAGAGATTTAGGTGTTCACATCTCTCCCCCTTTTAATTTCACTAAACATATTGAAATTTCTTTTTTTCCAGCCGTATTCTTAGATCGATCGTTCATCCCAACCTAAACTCTTATCGTAAATGCTTGACCACTTATATCCGACCCATCTTAGAATATGCTTCTACTGTTTAATCTTCCCGTTCGCAATTTTCCATTGAACGTTTGGAGAAAATTCAGAGGAGGTCCACAAAAATCGCTTTATGGAAAATTTACTATTATAAATATTCTAACTTGATTTGTGAGGATAGGCTTGCTCTTTGGGAACTAAAAACTTTACAACATCGTCGCTTTGTCATTGATCTAGTCGAAACTTTCAAAATACTGCGTTGCAAACAGGTTAGCCCTTTTTTGTTGACTTTTTCAAATTTAACCCGAGGTCAGAGTCCAGAAGTGGTTCATTCCCTTTGCGTTTAATGCTTCTTTATTAAACTCATTTCTCGTTAGAGCCGCTAGGTTAAGAAGCTTGCTTCCAAATGACATTCGAGAAATTCAGTCACTTTCCATTTTCAAGAAACGGATCGATGCTCTAGATCTAACGGCTCTCTCTCGTAGGTAATCTGATTATTTGCATATTCACTTCCACTATCTTGTATTTTTGTAACTTTCTTTGTCTCTACATTTATGACTCGCTGTGCATTTCTCTGATTTATTGTGTTTCACTTTATCATCTGAGTAAAGTATCATCATCATTATTATTGTTATTATTATTTTCAGAAATGAAACGGATATTTGCAAGAGGAAATAATGCCCTAATCGTACGGAATTACAGTGACAGGTGCACTTTTTAAAGTTTCAAACGAGTTACCAACTTTTTAGTGAGCAGTTCAAATATCGCCCCAATTTGCTGCATCATCGTGCGAAGAAGACCGGGAAAAGTGTGGAGGAGATAATTAAAAAGTGGTTTACTCATTTGAAAAAATAATTCTGAAAAAAGAAAAACTATCTTTGCAGCTTTGGCTTTGTTAATACCAATATTTAGTGCAAATCGTGTTCCGATCCCGGCGATGAAAGGCGAGCCGCTTTTCGGTGTCCACTCTGTCATCGCCGCTCTCACGGCTCAGCGCAGAAAGCCCCATGTGCTGTATATGAAAGTAAGCCTTACAAAAAGTTAGATACAGTAACGGTCAAAATGATTCGTAGACCCCGTGTTCTGCATAATTTCGTGGTTTTGCTATTACCTGTGGTATTCTAAATAAACTGAAATCAAAAGAGCACCTTTTTAACTTTTATGCACTAGTTTTGAACTATTTTTGACTTATCTGCAACGTTTTAAGATGATTGGTTGAGTTCTTCATGTCTTCATGGTCTACGAATCATTTTGAGCGCTACTGTACAGGGTGCGACACGATTATTGCAACCGCCTCAGGGCATCAATGTTAGTTCCAACAACTATTTCGACATACTTAAGCAAGATCTTCTTCCGTGAGCCAAAAATCAGTTTGGCAACAGGATTTGGTGTTTTATGCAGGATGATGCTTATGCTCACAAGATTCGAGTGGTTCAGGACTGGCGTCAACAGCATTTTCCCGATTTGGCGACCCTCAATCTTAATCCAGTGTTTGGAATGTTCTTGAAGCAAAAACATGCTCAAAAGTGCATTCCAGCATCGGATTTGCTTAAGAAATCTTTCTCAAAACTCCCACTTACCATTTGGCCACGGTGGATGCATTTCTACCCATAGAAATCTTTTTTAAAAGAAGTAGTTTTTCTTATTTAATATATCTTTAAAAGTCAATTGTTAAAGTCTTTGAGTTGATTTCTTTTAGCGGTTTCTATCCTTAAAAAAATATTGGTTGCAATAATCCTGCCGCACCTGCATTTTTGCTATTTGTTATTTGCTATTTTTATAAATCTTGAGCCAATTAAGGAATCTGTTCGAGCAAGAGCCGAGTCGAACGAAACGCTCAACCGTTTGCTGACACTCGCCGAGGAGAGGAAACTGCCTATTCGACCCTTAGCACACGATCAACTCGATAGGATTACTCAATTTCAACTACACAATGTAGGGCTACAGATTAACGAATGTGATCATTAAACGTAGATTTTGTAACATACTGATCTAGTAATTTATAAGCAAACTACTGTCACTTTAGGGAGTTGTGCTCGATTGTGGCCCTCTCACCTTCGCACCGCTAACTGACATGGTAGAGGTGGGATTTTTGGTGTTTCTGGATCGGGTACTCGATCCAGGGAATGTGGGCGCGCTTGCTAGGACTATCGCTTTCTTTGGCGGCTCGGGAATCGCATATGCGCTCGATCGAGGGTTCGTTTTTCAGTGCTTCATAAAAACTAGATGAAATTCGTAAAAGCTCTGAGTCAGCTCTACAATTTTAGTCCCCATACGATTACCCCATCGATGAGCAAAGCCTCAGCCGGTGCGCTTGAGTATCTGCCCGTGGTCACAGCTTCAACTTCATCAGAGTTCTTTGAGGTATAAGAATTATATATGTGACGACAGAATCCGACCACACGACAATCAAATTCTGTCGTCAGAATCCGATCACAAATTGTTTTGTGGTCGGATTTTGACATTCAAGTTAAATGCTAATTAAGGGAATGCATTTTTAATTTAAGTGCAAATTAAAAGAAGAAATGTACAATTGTAAAACAAAGCTAAAAAAACAATTTTGTGACAAATCTGCGCACTTTCTTATTACGATGCGTGAAATATTGTTTAATTTCGGGGTAGGCTAGTTTTCGCAACTTTTTTTGCGCAACAGGGTCATTTGCGCAACTGGGTCGTTTGCGCAACTCGGCATAACTTTCTTCTAAGTGGATCAATCTTTATGATTTTTGGTTTCATTTTGTTGCACTTATTGAGATCTACAAAATGAAACCAAAATCATAAAGATTGGCCCACTTAGAAGAAAGTTATGGTGAGTTGCGCAAACGACCCAGTTGCGCAAATGACCCTGTTGCGCAAAAAAAGTTGCGGAAACTAGCCTACCCCTTAATTTCTATTTGGAATGTGAAAAAAAGAATGCTCAACGTCAAATTCATCAAAAAATATTTTAGTAATTTTAGTAAAAATAAAGATAAGCATATGCCCTCAAAAACCACTAAACACATCTTTTATTTTGTATGAAAATATCAAAGTATTTAGTCGAATGAATGGATTTATCTTGAATATGATCGGATTCTGTCGTAACATATACAAACTAGATAAAAAAAACTCTAGAAATGTCACTCCAAAGGATATTTCGTCGTTGGGACGGCCGATCCAGGCTCAGCAATTGCGAAAAACAGAAATGTACTCGATATTTCTGACTTCAAACCACCACCTCGACGCCCGATTGTTGTTGTTATGGGTGAGAAAATGATAAGCTTTGACTATAATGGCAATTACTTATTCAGGTGATGAGGGAACGGGTATTAGTCCTGAAGTGTCATCTCGTTGTGACGCGTTTGTCTCGATTGGTTCTCCACAAATTCAAAACGTCCCTTCACTCAATGTTTCAGTGGCTGCAGGTGGAACAACTCGAATTCTTTCAAAGCACTTTCAAAGTAAAGCTCTTTCAGGAGTTCTTCTACATCATCTTTGGCTGTCATTGAAAGAGAGACTTGAATGAATAAACCCCTGAATAGACTTGAACCCGGGTACTTGAATGAATAAATATTAGACATTTAGCATAAACATTCGATTAATTAACATTATCAAAATATGGAACTTGTATGAGTATCATTATGTTGCTTCAATGAAATGAACGTCGGCTTTGCGCACAATCAGCTAATCTAGGTGTTGTGTGCGTGAGGGAGGACTCAATTAGCGGAATTCACCCCTTTCATTCATTCACCTCTCTGACTAATCTTCGATCGGTCGCTTGGGCGACCTCTCTTTTACTCGAAACATTGCAATACTCTTCAATTGAATATTTTACTATTATAATTTTCATTCATTTCAAACCATAAAAAGATGCAATAGTTTCGCTTTGAAAGATGAGCCCTTTACTTTCACTTAAAGGAGTCGTCCGAATTAAGACCGATTCTCACTAAAACCAAATTATTGGCAGGTGGGTTTCGTAATATCGTTTTTGATGAAGTTTTTTATGTCTTGGTTTGGGAGATGTGGGAAATAAAGCCAAATTTAAGCCAAAGACCTGTCTCACAAAATTAGCTAACCGCTACCTACCTACCCCTTTACGGATTCCAAAAGGAAAGCACCCTATACCAGATGTTTGTCAGATAGAGAGCGATTACGCGGCCGCACAAAGAACGCCTCGCCAGTCGTAGGAATTTCTCTTTTGCTTTGTAGATGATACGAAAAGAAGATATTCAGCTGTAAATTTGTACCCGACATTTTTCGGGATCGGGCAATCGATTGTAGTTATTCATTTATTGGCTCTACCAATTTTGGAAATCGGGTTTAATTGTTGGCGATTGACGGGGTTCGTTTGTTGCATTTCAAAGCAAAATTTCTAATTTTTGCTGACCTTGAGCCATTCTTTTCGTATTTTGGATAAAAATAATTATTGCGGGAGGGGGAGAACCAAGTTTTTTCGCTTGAGATTTACTAGGTTTACAATAGAATTCAAAAACGTTACATTTTTCATTTGGCAAAAAGTACATTACATTGGTAGCTTTGTGACTCTGACGAGATTTGTTAAATACTGCCATTTATACAGTACCCTAAGGTTTCTTATGAGATAAAAGATAAAGATAAAATTAGATAAGATAGATAAAATTCAATCCCAAAGATAAAATTCAATCGCTATCAAAAGTAAAGCACTCAGCAAATGGTGTAGAGCAATGTGTTTGCGGGTGGAAAAGGGGTATCCAGGAATTCAAGGAATAAGAAGAGAAAAAAGGGGGGAAGTGGTGCGGCACACAAGGTGGGATCGTTTGTTTGTTTGCCTTTGGTCCCCTGCGCACTCCGGGTGGAAGACCGAGAGGATCCATGCTTCCATGCACCCCTTCCATCACCTGCAACCCTTCCAACAAAAGCTCAAATTTCTTTCTCTTTTCCTGAAAATTTATGTTCTCAATGGTACAACCACCAGATCGATATTGGCCTATTTGCTTGTTTTTTTCTCTTCCCCCCTATCCTTCAACTCCCCTCCTTCTCAGCTACCTTCCTCCCAGCTACCTTCCTCCCAGCCCCTCAGCTACCTTCCTCTCAGCTCCAGCTACTCCCCCAGCCCCCCCCCCTCCAGCTCCAGCCCCCCCCCCCAGCTACTATCTTCTTCGTTTCGTTTACTTCTCACCGTTTACCTTCCTCTCAGCTATCTTCCTCTCAGCTATCTTCCTCTCAGCTACCTTCCTCTCAGCTTATACTTCCTCCCAGCTACCTTCCTCTCAGCTATCTTCCTCTCAGCTACCTTCCTCTCAGCTTCTCAGCTACCTTCCTCCCAGCTACCTTCCTCTCAGCTATCTTCTTCTCAGCTTCTCAGCTATTTTAATTTGTTCTATGGTATAATTTATTCAAATTCAAATTCAAAATTTAATTTTTGAGCTGAAAATGATTTCAACTTTGATTTTAAAGCCAATCCCAGCACAATAACAATGAAAATTCACTTTTCTAGAACAAACCTTTTTCCTTTTTACAAAATATTGGAAATTCAAAGATTCCTTCGTCTTTTTTTACTCCCACGTCTTATCGATTTGAATGTAAAAGACCGAATGATGAATCACTCGCCCAGCTGATAAAAACCCTTTTTAGATTTTCGGCTTTTTCAGACATTACTTTTTGAAGTCCGTTTTTCCGAGAATTTCTTAAATTTCTCTCTAGAATATAAAACTTTTAGATAGCTGTAGAACCCTTTTGTGCGATCAACTAATGTAGAGCCCTTTTGTGCGATGTCCGATCCATTACAATGTCTTCGCATCAGCTCGATTCTGATCGGCTTCTGGACAATGGTTTGTCGAGAAAGACCTTTTGTCGAGAAACGAGAAACCCTTTTCATTAAAGAAATTGTAAACAATTTGCATTTAAAAAACAATCCCTTTAGTTTTACTGTTTGGTGCAAATTGGAGTGCTCGGATGGCAAGTGAAAGTGGTGAGTGAATTAAAGAAAATAAAACAAAAAAACCATTTTTCAAAAGAAGATATCAAATATTTACAGGTTAAAGATCGGCAATGGGAATGGGAAAATCGAATGGTACCACCAAATGGATTGTAAGTAAAAAAAAATCTTTTATTTTTGTATAATCAATCAAATTGGGGTACTTGCGCAATTTTTTTTTGCGCAACTGGATTCTTCTCGCCATAACTTTCTTCTAAGTCAACCAATCTTTATGATTTTAGTGTCATTTTGTTGCACTTATTGAGATCTACAAAATGAAAACAAAATCATAAAGATTGGCCCACTTAAAAGCTTCAGCTCATAACATCAAAGGGAAGTTTTCCGATTTCCAAAATACTCAGCAACTTCTTTCTCAAACGTTATGAGCTGAAGCTTCTAAGTGGGCCAATCTTTATGATTTTGGCTTCATTTTGTAGATCTCAATAAGTGCAACAAAATGAAACCAAAAATCATAAAGATTGGTTGACTTAGAAGAAAGTTATGGCGAGTTGCGCAAAAAAAAATTGCCGAGATTAGCCTATCCTATCAAATTTGAAGTCTAATAAAGTACAAGTGATTTGCTTTAATATTCACATATTAATTGAATAAGTTATTTGCTTGAATATCTTTAAAAGATAATGAGAAGTAAATTCTATTCAGTGTCGACGGTTTCCAAGCTCGTTTCCCTGGCCTCTACGCTCTTTACGAAGAGACACCGGAAAGGAGAAGGATTAATGGTAAATTAAAATTACTGAATCGATTTTAAAACTATTTTTGAAATCAATAACTTTTATATACACTACTGGACAATGAAATATGATATTTGAAAAACGATCGTCACTTTCGCGCGTCTGTAACCCCCTTGTCTTTGAGTTTAAACTATTAGTGTTATACATTTTCTGAAAGCTCTTTTCAAGGGCTACACAATGGTAATATTAATATTTAGAAATACGGTAAAGACAAGGGAGTTACAGACGCGCGAAAGTGACGATCGTTTTTCAAATATCATATTTCATTGTCCAGTAGTGTAGCTTTATCAATGAGAATTAGGAGTTGGTGAGAGAAGGTAAAGCTAAGATTTGCTGAATGTGCAAAGCCAAGATTTTTATTGTCCAGCCAAGATTGTCCAGTAGTGTAACTATATAATATGTACTTTTTTTCCACACTAACTTCGATTGTTTGCAGAGAAATTTTTATCTAAAATCGCTAACAGAAAGTTCTTGCAGGATTTTGATTAGCTGAAATCATATTATATAGTTACACTACTGGACAATGAAATATCATATTTGGAAAACGATCGCCACTTTCGCGCGTCTGTAACTCCCTTGTCTTTACCGTATTTTTAAATATTAATATTACCATTGTGTAGCGCTTGAAAAGAGCTTTCAGAAAATGTATAACACTAATAGTTTAAACTCAAAGACAAGGGAGTTACAGGCGCGCGAAAGTGACGATCGTTTTTCAAATATCATATTTCATTGTCCAGTACTGTATAAGCAATGAAGATGATCAAAAATTAAATTTTAATCTATCTTTCTTTTAAATACGATTCTCTTCAAAACCAAAAGCTTTTTTTTAAAAATCTAAATATTCCAGATTTTATAAATACCTCTAAATTATTTAAATTTAAATCTAAAATACATATTTTTAGCTATGTATGCGATTGTGCTCACTTGTCTCTTTCTCGTAATCGTTCATCTCGTTTTTTCCGTTTTTATGACCTGGGGAGCTTATAAAGTAAGCTATTTGTTAAATAAAAATCAGATTTTAGATTATATATTTAAATTCTAAGAATATTTATTGATCTCTATTTGTTTCAGAGACGTTCCTCCTTGATTTTCCCGTGGTTATTCACTGAAGGTGGGACGATTATCATGTGCACAGCATACGCGGTTCTCTGGTGGAGTGGAGTGCGTCTAATATTGTCAAAAACAAAAACAACAAGCAACCACCGTATTTTCTCTAATAGTAGTGCACCCCGGCTAGCTGAGTTGATGTCTATTCTATGGTTTCCAAGCTTTTGCAGAAGCTAAACACTTAAATCCGAAGATCTTATCGTCAGCTACATTTTCCGACCCGTTCTGATAAGGTCGATAGGTTCTGATAAGCGGTTTTTGAGATTTCGTGGAATTTAGCGGGCGCCCAAGGTGCACTACTATTAGAGAAAATACGGTAGTCGTGGCGCAACCGGGGGCGGGCATTTCTACGGCCCACACGACCCGGGTCCGACCTATGGTTTCAAGAGGAGATTCAGAGCTATCACATTCATTGTAATACCCTATTTTCTCTAATAGTAGTGCACCGTACGAGTTGATGTCTATTCTATGGTTTTTCAAGCTTTTGCAGAAGCTCAACACTCAAATCCCCCACAAGATCTCATCGTCAGCTACATTTCCCGACCCCACATCGATAGGTTCTGATAAGCGGTTTTTGAGATTTCGAGGAATTTAGTTGACAATCAGGGTGCACTACTATTAGAGAAAATACGGTATTTACGATTTTCCACTAATACTATTTCAAATTCATGAATACGGAGACTTTTAGGACGTTTTCACGGAACAACTCGTGATGTCAGTGGCTGAATTCGTTTTCTCACTAGCAATCAATGTATGTCCTAGAATTTATCTCAACGATTTTTTCACGCAAATAATGTGATATCAACAAATACATAAAAAACCTTATATATGAGAAAAAAACGAATGATTTACCGGACGGGATTGAACTCTCGATCTCCCGACTAAGATACAGGGCTCTTAGCCAGTCGGCTAACGATTGCACATTTTAGGGAGTCCTTTTCATCGTTGTCATCTTTTACGTGGTTCGTCTAAATGGAGGACTCGCCTCGAATAAACCAAAACACAAGCATCATTATCGGAGTGAATATCGAATTGTAAATGATAAAATGAATCCAAAATGAAATGAAATTTCTAGGCTTATGAGCCACCAGCTGGACTTCCGAATGAAAGAGTTGAAATCGTGAAAGTGGTGGAAGAAGTGCAGAAAAAGAGTGGGAAAAGGAGAAAGAGTCGAAGTCGAGATAGGAGCAGAGATCGAAGACACCGATCACATTCTCATGGAAGGGCTCAAGAGCCGTTGGATAAGGTTCGGTTTTAAGACTAGTAATCTAGTAATTTATCGTATTTATTCTAATAGAAGCTGAAATACATTTATCTAGAGCTGTAACTTTAGCTATAGAAGCTATTGAAGTCTTGAAAGTCTTGATTTTGAGGAGCCAGGGATGGTCTTTTATTAGAAACTGGCCTTCAAGACTGGTCTTCAATTGAAGACTGGTCTTCTATTGGAAACTGGTCTTCTATTGGAGACTGGTCTTCTATTGGAGACTGGTCTTCCATTAGAATAGATACGATACTTGTAATCCAATGCTAACTTTATGCTTTAGGTGCCACCATGGCGAGCCGAATGGAACGAGGGGCCGCCCGAGAATCTAAGGCGAAAGTTGAAACGGCATGAGAATCGAAATCGGAGATCCTTTGAAAAACAAAGGAGACAATTGATGCATGACAAGGGGTTAGTGCAAAGCTTTTGCAATCTTATTTCAATTCTCAGCATTGATCTCGCGGCACCTGAGGTGGATGATCAAGAATTTCCGTGGAAACTCCCACCGCCACAACCCGAGCGACGCCCAAGAAGCACTGGCAGTATAATTAGAGTAGGAAAGATGAAAGATGACAAATTAAGACAGCATTAAACCATTTCAGGAATTGTATTATGAAGATTTCCCGTCAGAGCGCTCATTTCGGCGCGGGCGTCCACCGCGTGGGCAACGGGGGAGAAGTTGGGATCAGGTGAAGAAAAAAACATAGCAATTGTTTATATATTATTTGGTTGTAGATTCAACAAGAAGAGATTCTCGGCTCGCGTCCGACCACCGGAATGGAGCGGGTGACCTTCTCGAGACAAGATCCTCAAATCTACTATCGTACTCCCGAAGAGACACCCTCTTCACAACACCAACCCGCTCAACAAGTGGATGTTTAACTCTCACAGATCTTTCAGATTTTCTAGATTTTCTAGATTTCCTTGTGTCCTAATTAAATCTGTACATATCGTTGAGTTTTCTTCTGATCTCATTTACACATTTAATGATGATAAAGCTTTTGAATTAACTTCTCAAAATGACGTCCTAAAATCTCCGACCAAATCTTCTTTAACACTCAAATAGCGTTTTCACAAAAGTCAATAGGTTTAGTTTGTGAGGAATTTAAAAAAAGAATTCGTTTACTAGAGTTGCGAGTTGTTCGCAGAGAAAAGAGATAAAGAGAAAAAAAATGGAGAAGCGCTAAGTGGTTGGGCCGTTGCGAGTTGTTCGCAATTTCCTTGTGTCCTAATTAAATCTGTACATATCATTGAGTTTTCTTCTGATCTCATTTACACATTTAATGATGATAAAGCTTTTGAATTAACCTCTCAAAATGACGTCCTAAAATCTCCGACCAAATCTTCTTTAACACTCAAGTAGCGTTTTCACAAAAGTCAATAGGTTTAGTTTGTGAGGAATTTTAAAAAAAGAATTCGTTTACTAGAGTTGCGAGTTGTTCGCAAAAGTTATTGGGGATAAAGAGAAAAAAATGGAGAAGCGCTAAGTGGTTGGACCGTTGACGGTGGGTGGATTTCAGACGTGAAAAAGAGATCGCCCTCTTTCGAAAGGTGATTTTGTGATGGAGATCAGAGGAGACAAAATCATTTCAGTCAAAGAGTCAAACAAAAAAAATGAAGAAAAAAAGTAATGGATAAGGGAAAAGGCGATGAAAACAAACAGACTCTCGACACTGACCCCGAAAAGAAAGAGAAAAGCTGAGATTTCAAAAAAAATTCCTTTCTCTTTCTTTTATTCGAGTTGAGGTCCCCTTTTTTCTATTCGTTGTTGCTTTTAGGCTTCTTGAGGTGGCTATTTTGCTCTTAATTTTGATTATCTTTCATTATCTTTCATTATCTTTCATTATCTTTGATTTCACTTGTCTGGTCGGGTTTTAAAATCTCTTCTCAAACTCTTCTCTTCAATCATTTCCTCATTTTCACTCTTTTTGTTCTTCTTTTGTTCATAAGTGGAAAGTTATTCTTTTCAAATTCAATTAAGCTTTTAAACTGTTAAGTTAATCAGTTCAAGTTCAAGAGATTGTAAGTTCAAGTTCAAGAGAGTATATCAAGAGATTTGTAAGACTGACACAAGTTGTACTGTAGTGAAAGAAGTCCCAATCACTTCTTTCACTACAGTACAACTTATGTTAGTCTTTTTTTCATTAGAATCTTAGACTACATAGCTTTAGACTTAAATAAGCATTCACTATAATCAATTGAATAGTTTATTCAGAATACTGTGTAATTCCGAATGTAACAAAGGCGGATTCGAACCAGCAACCAACAAAAGCACACTATCCATTAGGCCACCAGCTCACATTTGAGAGAAGGCGTGCCAACCTTATAAACCTATTGAAATTGCCAATTTTTACGCCAAATATCTCGTGTTACAGAGCTCTTCCGGAAAAGTTAAAACCGAATTCGGTATCAGCGTAAAAAACTCTATCAAATAGGCTTGATCTCGTTCGAAAAGCCCACCTTAACATTCTCTAGTGAGTTCTTTTTATTGGCACGTGTTCTGTCAAATATTTGTGATTGTTTGAGTCAATGATTGGCTGACAAGAGAGAACCCTTTGTACTCTCCCGATTTCTTCTTTTCCTTTCTTTTTCCCTGATCCCTCAAAAATCCCATTGATTCTCCTACTCTCGTGTATTCACTCGACCTTTCTCTCTTCTCCTTACCTTTACATCTTTTTCACACTCAACTCATTCATTCATTTAACTCAACTCATTCATTCATTCATTCATCATTTAATATTTGAAACTTTGTTCTACTCAAGAGAGTAGAGTAGAGTAGAGTTCACCTTGGTTCAACAGGTAACAGTTAAAGGCAGTTAAAGTAAAAGGCAGATACTTTTCAGGCATAATTTGTATACTATTGTTATCTAAACAAACCTTATTTCTATCTTTGAATCAATTCTAGATCGAGCGATCTGTACGATGTCATCGTTTCGATCGAATTCCTGGCGAACACCTCTCCCTCCACGCTCTGCCGCTTCATTTGCTTGTCCATTTCCCTTTCGAGTGATCCCAAATCTTCCCGATGTCGTTTTACGAAAAGTCTTCTCTATGCTCTCCTATAAAGGTTGCAAAGGTTCATTCAATTTTTAAAAAACCTTCAGAATTATGTGCTTGTGAAGTGGTATGCCGTCGATGGCAAACCATCATTCATCAACAAATGAAAAAAGATATCCAAGAAATCACTCTTGAATCGGTGAGTGGAAAGGGTTAAACAAAAACTAGGAATGAGTTTAGATTGGCTCCTACAAAGTCAGTGCAATGTGGCAAAAGGATTGAAAAGATTAGCGGTAAATCGTTCAGCTTGTGAAGGTAGCTTGTGAAGTCTCATTTTAGATTTCTTGCCCATCAACATCAGCCGATTTCCTTGGAGGCGTCATTCGACGACATCGTCTCTCACTTTCTCGTCTCACCACCGATTTTCGTTTCCTTTCCACTATTGATTCGGTATTTTTTAAAGTAAACAATTAAAAAGAAAAATAGATAATAGATAGACATAGATACAGTACTGGAGAATGAAATATCATATTTGAAAAACGATCGTCACGTTCGCACATCTGTAACTTCGTTGTCTTTGAGTTTAAACTATTAGTGTTATGCATTTTCTGAAAGCTCTTTTCAAGGGCTACACAATGGTAATATTAATATTTAGAAATACCGTATTTTTTGACGCATTTCAGCGCGCGCGAAAGTGACGATCGTTTTTTTAAATATGATATTTCATTGTCCAGTACTGTAGATAGATAGAATAGATAAAATAGATAGATAAAAGTAGATATCAGTAGATAAAAGATAAAAGATAAAAGATAGATAGAATAGATAAAAGATAGATAATAGATAAAAGTGAATAAAGACGCGAGACGTAAATACTTTGGAAAAGTTGATGATCTCTGGGTGCTGATAGTAGGATTACGAGATGAAGATGTGCAACATTATCGAGCAGTTGAAGAACGAATTTTTAATGTAGGTTCAAATCGAAGAGAAGTTCTTATAGATGTTCTTATAATGTTATAGATCTTATAGATGTTCTTATAATCTTATAATAACGATTTTAGGAATTGACCACATTAACTCTACAACTGATGATCTCTTCTCGAAATGTGATTGCACAAAATGCGATCGTTGTCTCACTTTTTTCTCTTCGTCATCCTCAGGCGCATATCACGCTTGAATTACATGCTGATAACGCTAATCTAGTGAGACTTGAGAATTTGAGAATACTTGAGAACTTTGAACTTTTCCTTCTAGGTTTTCACTCAATTAGAAGCATTGGAATCAATCGCTTTCCTCAAGATCAAAATCATCTGCACTGAATTCAATCTACCAACTCTACCACTTGAGAAACTTTCTGAGGTCGTTAAATTTAAATTTAAATTAAATCGTTAAATGTTTATGTGGAAGCGTTAAATGCTTATGCTTAGTTTTCAGATTCTTGCAACAAAGCGAATTGGTGCAAAGATCATCACATTCAGGTAGAAATTTGAGTTGACGAAAGTTGATAGACGTTAATAGACGTTGATAGACGTTAATAGATGTTGATAGACGTTAATAGACGTTGATAGACGTCTATCAACGTCAAAGTTGATAGACGAAACTTTTAGAGATTGGACTTTATCATGTGATGGAGTGACTCCAGTTGTGCCGTGTCCTCTTGACACATTTCGAATCTCTTCGTGCACGATCGACTCAGTTGATGCGCTCGTTGATTCGTTTAAGGCAATAAAAAGAATATTTTAGTGCTCATTGATTATTTTATTTTAGGCTGCAGTTAAACAAGCAGCACCGAAAAAACTCGTCAAGAAAGTCGTCAAAAAGAAAGCCGAAGAGCAGCCACCATCTGATGAAGAGCCGAAGCCTAAGAAGGTAAAATTGAGGCAAAAGCTATTCACCAATATTTTCGTAAGTCTAATATTTATATCTGATTTCAGAAAATCGTGCGTAAAGTGAAAAAAAGACCACCAGTGGTTAAACGAGTTGAAGTTGCCGGTCAGTGCACGCTTCGTGGACTCGATTTCCTTCACCACAAAGCGCATATGGAGTTAGAAAATCGGTGAGTCGAATATATCCAAAAATATATTCAAAAACAAAATGCAGCTTATCGGCTTGTGTACCGTCGATTGAAGTGGACACCTCAGAAATCTACTATTGGGACAATCACATGACCGACTGACATGAGCGCGCGTGAGCTGAGCTCGTCGAATGAAAAACATAACGGAAATCTTTAGCTTTGATTGTGTGCATGCTTTTCTTTTCAATTTCTTTATATGTTTTGGCTTTTTGCATGCATCTTCTCTTGGCTTTGGGTCTCTTTTATGGTTTCTCGTCGGCTTCTCACGCGCTATCCGTAGAGCTTTTAATAGTTATTTTTAAAATTAGGTTCTTTAAATTTTTCTAAACTTTCGTTTGCTTGTTTTTCAAAGCTTTTTCATTAGATACTGGAATACTTTGACAAAACTGGGAGTGGGACAATTGCGACCTTTTTTTGCGCACCTTTTTTTCCGCACCTTGCCCATTAGCGCACCTTTTTTCGCATTTTAAAAAGCTCTAAAAAGCTAATATTAACCAATTTCCTATTCCAAAAGTTGTTTTTCTAGGTAATTTTAGGGCGTAGAATCGACATTTTGGCATATCAGAGCTTGTGGAACCAATTTGAAAGACAAAACGGCTAGATCAAATTACAGAAAATTGTCGATTTTTCTCTTTGTATAACTCCGTCCGTTTGTTTCCACACGCTCTGTTATGTCAAAATTTCGATTCTACGCCCTAAAATTACCTAGAAAAACAACTTTTGGAATAGAAATTGGTTAATATTAGCTTTTTAGAGCTTTTTTAAAATGCGAAAAAAGGTGCGCTAATGGGCAAGGTGCGGAAAAAAAGGTGCACAAATGTCCGGGTGCGCAAAAAAAAGGTCGCATTTGTCCCACTCCCCAAAACTTACAATAGTAGAGTGTGTTCCTCACGAGTAATGCGTTTTTTAAAAGGCACACTTAGGAAAAATTACCGTACTTTTAGCGAAAATTATTGCAAAAAATCACGAGCGATGGCTTATATACGATTTCTTCTAAAGATATTCAGCCGTTTAACTGATTTGAAAGCGTTTAACTGAAAATACCACATGAGCTAACAGATTTTTGAGTCATTTTCCAGCCCTATAGCACTTGATTGAAAGCTTTTATGCAGAAAAGAAATTTTAAAAAGGGCTGCTACGCAGGAGTACGCGATGATACTCTTTACCCGGTCTTCTATTCGAAGAAATACGGTAGATTCAATTTCCTCGACGTGTAAAGAGGACTACTCGTAGTTATTTGACCAAGAACGTCGATTAATCGATTAAGAATTACTCGTGCAAATTTTACTCGAGTAATTACTTACTCGCGAGGAACACACTCTATACAATAGGCTTTGCGTAAAAAATATTTCGTACTTTCTCAATAGTTCAATACCCAGTACGGGCACTGCTTTTACCAAATAATTCTATTTTGTGCATGATCTTGCCTATTGAGTACAAGTTTTCACAAGAGTTTGATATTTTTAAACGCTTTATGAATTTTCTAGGTGCTATAATAGTTGGGCGGGGCTTAATTTTGACGTGGCAATGTCTCATTTTATCAATTACACTGAATCCGATCTTGATGAAAATTTTCCTCACAGAAGTTTAGCAAAAAGCTTTATCAATAGAGCAACAAAAATAACAAAAAAAAGGTAGAAAAGATAATTAATTTAAAGGATACTTCTTGGCAATCTGGCAATTAATCTGGCAGCAACAGCTAATCCACCTATCTTAAAGAAGTCGATAAGAAAGATAATTTTCTGCATGTCGAAGCAAAATAAAAGAACAAAAAATCGGCATAGGTAAATGGGAAAATTTTCATCAAAATCGGATTCAGTGTAATTGATAAAGTGGGACATTGCCAACGGCAAAATTAAGCCCCGCCCACTGGGTCCCCCCAACTAGTATAGCACCATTTTATATACCATTGCAAAGAAATAAATATTCTACTAGAGTTGAAAAGCAATGCATTTCTTCCTTTTTTGGAATAGCCGTCTGGAATTTTTTATTCCAATTAAAAGACTACTCTATAGAATTCAATAAATAAAACCAAAGTATATCACAGACATTCTTGTAAAAAACAACAACTTCAATCTGTTTTTTCTTCTTCCAAAATTTCCGGCTGAACCTCTTCTCCTTTCGGCAAATTCTTCTCCTTTCGTCTACTCATGGCGCGACAAATGGCTGGCAATTCTTCTGGCCCATACTTTTCGGCGATCTTCAATATCTTATCGTTCTTCTCAAGTGTCCATTCGACTTTTGATGCATAAACGAATCGAAGCCATTCGCGCATCACATCAAGTGAAGCTTCAATGTCGACTTCTTGGACCTCAGCATTTTGCCCATTCAAAACAGTTGTACGTCTCTTAAGAATTTCTCGCACCACGCAGATAAACCCACCGCCAGTGCCAACTAATCGAATCGGAGTCGCTGACAATGGATCAAATGCATCCGCCATACATCCCAGTATTGATGAAAGCTTTGACAAACGAGCGAGCTTCGAATACATCTCATCAATTTTCATTCCAAAAAGCATGGTCGCTTGTTTATCTTCTTCAGAAACAGCAGTGATTGGCACAGTCTTGTCACTTTCAGGGTATTTGACTTTGAAAAGATCCAAAAACCTGGTATTGAGCTCATATGCTTGTTTACAAGCACAATTTTCAGGAGTGAACGCAATTACATCGTAACTCCGCCTTTTCCGTGAGCGTCGTGCCAATTCAGTGACAATCGAAAAATTCGGCGCCTGTCGTAACTCGGCTAAAAAATCATTTGCCTCATCTTTTTCAATTTCAGGAAGTACATTTGAGGGGCCAGCAACATCTTCTGGATTTTCCAATTTCTCTTTCAGGCTCACAGACATAGCTTTGGCCAGTTGCACCTGTTCATCATTCATCGAGCGTGGTTGTCCTTTCAAAGGTTTTGGTAGAACTGGTTTCCGCCTCGGTGACTTGGCCCCATTGTGACGAAGGCCATTTTCCTTTCGAACTTCAGAAACTTTTTTTTGTGTTTCGTAAAGTTTCATGGCATCTGATCCGGCGACATGATGCTCGCGGGAACATTTTTTGATGTGGGCAATCTGGAATGGCCCATCTTCAAGCGGTTTCCGGCACATTGGGCAGTCCATCGTTCGGTTCACTTTCTGTTTTTCTTGCTCAAACTTCGCTTCGGTTGCTTGTGTGTCGAGGCAACGGTTGATGTGCTCCAAACGACGGGTTTGGCTCCAATAGCGAAGTGTCCTCGAACACACTGGGCAAACTGCAAACGTTGTTTCTTTGGTCGTTTTCTTGGCCATCTTCAAGTCTGGCTCATCTTTTGGCTCATTCATAAGATTTGCCCTTTTCAAAGCATCCATTCGCTTTTCCGGGTCTTCCAACAACGGTGTGATTGAAAATTCGACAAAAATGTCGTCATCGTCATCGTCGAACAAAGGATCCGCATTCATTTTTGCCCTTTGTCGTTGTGCTCAGAGTGGTTTCTGATCTAAATAAAGAAATTAGATGGTTTAAACTTTTGTTTATCATGAACCAGCTAAAAGTATACTACCAAAACAATTTAAATACTTAATTTCTTGTGAAACAAAGTCAGACTTGAGCTTTTAAAGGCAACCACGCTTATTTAATAAAACTAACAGCGAAAATGAATTTGAACCAACTTCTTATTAATCATAAACAACCATTTTAAACCATTTAATACGTTTTAAAAGCTTTGTGTAGCCAACAACATTAATTCTCACTAGAACTCAGCAAGATCATACGCAAAAAGTGCTTTAAGTCCGCATTAATTAAAAAAAATCAAAAATCCGAACCTTGTATCATTAAGAAGACACTCCAAACGAAGCGAAACGTTGAGCCAACGCTATCAAACTCCCCTTTCAAGCACGTAGAACCTAAAAAGATAAAATAAGATCACTAATAGATAAAACAATAACCGAAAAAGAAAAAAAACTATATAGAACCCTAGTTTCAACATGCTTTAACTGGAATAAAAGTGGATTTTGATTTGCCGCCGTGAAAAAATGGTGCAAAATAGCACGCACGAAAGTGCGACAGTCTGGAAAGTGAATGCGAACTTTTTTGCTCTATTCGCCTTGTTTTTTTGTTTCCTTTCCCAAAAATCTTTCAACTTTTATCAACTTTCAAAAAAAATATAGTAAATGCATAATTTTGGTGAAATACAACCACTTCCGAGATCAATACACGTGTCTGAATTGCGTCAAGATAAACAAAAAAGGGAGAAAAGTTTCCAATTAAAAAGAGCTACAGTGAAAATTCTACGAGAATCTAAAAAGTGTAAACATCGGGGGAAAAAAGAATAACAAAAATTCTAGACTAAAATGGGTCAAAACAAAAAAAAAATGTGGGAGGTTACGGTAAAAAAGAGACAAGAAAAAAGACAAAAAGACAGACAGTAAAAAAGACGGAAAAATTCCAGACGATAAGTTGGGAAAATGTTAAATGAATAGAAAAAGCGTTTTCCATTATTGGTGACCTTGTGTTTCTAAAATTTCCTGATTTACTTGATAATTGCTTTTCTTAAAACCTGTCCCATTCATTTCTCGACTTTTCATCTCCTCAATCCTTTTTGCGAGAAAAGTGTCCATCTGGTGCACTGGCTTCACCATCAACATATCCACCAAACCCTTTGATGTATCGAAAGCAATCTGAAACTTTAGCTGACTTCTACATTTTCAGCGATAAACTTTTCTTAGCGCTGGCTTCACGACTTTATCAACGATAAAGTCCTCCTTGACCGTTTTCTCGTTTTCTTTCGTTTTTTGATCATTGATTGTCGAGTTTCCATGTTGATAGGGCGCATCATAGATGGGTCTAAAATAGCTTTGACAATTTTTGCCTTCTCGACAATACACTTGCTGGTACACCATTCTCTACGAGTTTTAAGCTAACTTTTATCTTTTTTTAGCATAAACAGCTTTTACACTCATTTCTATCACCTCAGCAACGCTGGCTGCCGCCCTCCATAATAATATGTAGGCCGGCGTCGAAGTTGGAGAGCGTTGAGATTTCGCGGAGAAAGAAAAGACGGTTGAACCATTGGAAACAGAGGGAACACTTGCGAATAGTCGATCATCTATAAAAGCTATCAGTGGCCTAAGATTTCCCTGATTAGTACCTCATTTTCTCGATTTCCAAATGAGTTTTCCTTTATTAGCGTAGACAGTGGAAGCTTTGGTATTTGTGGTTGTTTTGGTGGTGGTTGTCGAACTGTCGGTACCCCGATTCTATTTTTCATTTGTAAGATTTGTGCTTAAAAGATAACCTCTGCCATTGTAGATAGTCGCCTTTTCCCATTTCATTGTTCTCAATATACGGCACGTTCATTGTCTAAATTCTTTTAAAAGTCGACGAAATCATCTTGTTAAGGCTAAGCATTTAAAAGCATTATGTAGCAATTGTGTAGCAATTATGTAGCATTATGTAGCATTATAAAAACCGTTAAAACAATGGATGGCTGAGTGGTGGTGATGGGTGGAGGTTGTTGGGTGGGGATCGGAGTGCCAGAGTGGAGTGGAGGCTCCGAAATAGCGATCACCGGTTGTCCAGCTGCTAGCAAAGACTCCTAGACACCAAAGCTGTTGTTAATATAGCTGAAGCAAAAAAATCGATAAAGTATCATCCAAACCCTAATGTCCGGCTTATCACAACGATCCCCAATAAAAACGAGTGTATCCGGACAAGCCCTTTCTGTCCATATTCCTCCTTGAAATGAAGTCGGTACACATTGTAAATACAAAGATGGACGGCTAAATTTGATTTTTATTTGATTTTTATTTGATTTTATTTATTATTTTATAAAAGCAATGACTCTTTTTTCGCAACTCACCTTGGATGTTCACATAAAAGCTCCGAATCTCCTAGAAGAGGACATGAAGTCCCGATCACACATCCTGTTAGCAATGTTAATGTAGTAGCCGTTTCCTGTAATTAAAACCATTCAAAAGATTGCAAGATTCAATTAAAACCGTTTCTTTTTCAAAATCAGGTGGTGGTTTCCAAGAAAGTGATGAAGTCACCCATTTCTCTTCCTTTCCATTGTTGTCGATATTGATTGGAGATGGTGTGAATCGAATAATGTCGATTGGAGGCTGAGTGGTGAATCTGAAATCGTGTCAATGAAATGACAATCTTTTCTGAGATCACCGAATGATATCAGGCGTCGAGAATCCAGGGTAAATCGGCCGCAAAGGGGCGGGTACGTTGTCGGGGTATGGATGTACCTATCAAAAGTTTTTGAATCAGCACTTCCTAACGCCATGGCCGACTGGCTAAGAGTCTTGTATCTTAGTCGGGAGATCAAGGGTTCAATCCCGCCGGCTAGTTTATGAGCTCTGTTTCTCTGGTTTTCTTTTCCTATATTTAGGGCTTACTTGTGTATTGTTTGTGTTGTATTCGTGTGAGTGAATGAATTTTTTTAACGCCAACCTTTGTGTATGGCTCTTCGACGGATTTTGTGATTTGAATGTGACCAGCTGGAGTAGCTGCCTCAATCTGTAAAAAGATCTATTTAAATTTGCATAAGAATTAGTGGTGATAAAGGGATCGACCTCTTCATCTTCAGGTAGATGAGTCCATCCATATGTTTGTGGATTGGCTGTCTCAGCCGAATTTCGCGGTGGCACAATAATCGGCCTACCAAGAGCCATTTTCTCAAAAATCTAAATCATTAATACAATTGTTGTTTATTTTTAAAATCATTCACTTGTCTTTGACGTTCCTTTTCGATTCGTTGAGCTGCTTCTTCAGCTGTTTTTTGAGAGCGAACCATTTCCATCAATTCCTATAAAATTCTCTTCAACATTGCCATTCTTTATTGCCTATTTACTTTCAAAAATTGACGATCTGTTATCGATAATCCACGCGTTGTTTCAATCGATTTCTCGTCTAACTCTCCCTAAATCGAGAAAATTCTGTAATACCTTGATCTCTCTTTTTTTACCGCTTTAATATCTCCAATTCTTTGTTGTCCTTTTTCATAAATATATGGTGGATATGTGAGTAAAGTTGGGAATTGTGTAGTTGTCGGGATCTGAAAGTAAATTTAATCAAAAGAAGCACAAATTTCTTCACCACTTCTCCAGAAATCACTTCCAACGAATTCAGATTCTCGACAGAAGTCGTTGTTCTAAAGTTTTACAAGAATGCAAAAAGAATTGTAAATGATTCTACCGAGGTTTTTCAATGACAACAGTTCTAGGTACAGGAATTGGTGCTGGTCGAGGGCCGGGTGGAGCGAATGGTGGGGGTTGTCGAGGACTGGTGACTCGGCTATTCAATGGACCTGAAACAAGCTCAATCTATTGCTTTTCAGTTTTATAATCATTTTTTGATTAAATCTTTTCTCCCTACCTAGTTTCCCTTGTGATAGAGGACGGATTGGGGTTTCAGGTGGAAGTCGTGGATGAACTGAAGGCGGTAATGGCTTGAAAACTGTTGAAGGATGCTCGGTTGACGGTTGCACCCATAATGACGTTGGAGTTCTAAAGATTTGATTGATTTTGATTGATTTTGATTTTATCTTATCAACTTTATCAAAAAGCTATCCTTCTTTAAAGTGAATAGTGAAAGATGAGAAAGAAAATACAATTCTTTCATACGTTTGCAACACATTTATCTAAATCTTAAAGATACCAAAGACATTTGAGTCGATTGGTACTTGATTTTTAGAGTAAACAACGATTAAATGACAACCGTGGCGTTGACAAATCTCAAACACTTTCCGACACAAGCTCATAACTCATGTAATTACAAAGCTGTTTGTAATAAAATTAAGAAATATGATACGTTATGATTGAAATCTCAGTCGTGGTCGCTTCATCTTCATCTTCTGGATAATCTTCTTCAATGCTGTTTCTGATAGCTGAAAATCTTTTGCATAAAGTCTGACGGCAATCGGATGCGTTCTAATAGCTCATTGGTAGAGCGTTAGCCTGGTAAGCCTGGTAAGCCTGGTAAGCGGAAGAATCCCGGGTTCGAATCCCGGCGACGACCATGTTTTGCATTCCCAGCTCAAAAGGGGGATTACCTGGCGTTTTATAGCGAGTTTTGATTACCTGGCGGACTACCAGTTGTTGTCTTTCGATAGCCAACAGTGGGAATCGCTTCATCGCTGATATCAATACTCATCTCGATCTCTTCCGCCGTTTTATCTATTTAAATCAAATCTTTTAAGTCAAATTTATCTCTTACAATCTATTGTAGTTGTCTGAGAAAACACTGGTCTCCTTGTTTCTGTTGTCCAAGGTCTTCTTGTTCCTGTTGTCCAAGGTCTCCTCGTTCCTGTTGTCCAAGGTCTCCTTGTCGTGCTCATTGATCTCAAGAAAGTTTTTTTAAAAAGAAATGCTAAAATATCTGAATTTTAATGAATTTTGTATTCTATATTGCAAGTAGACATGGGTTTTTGTAGAAAACAAGTCACTTCTTGTCAGTCAGTCAGCAAAAACTCTTCTTTTCTAAAGCTAAAGATACAATGCTATTTCGAGCTTTAGAAAACAAGAGTTGTTTGTTAAAATGTGATTAGTTTTCTACAAAAGACCCATGTATAGTTGCAAGCTTGTAACTAGAGCTGTAAGTTTTGTGTAAGTTTTGTGTATTGTTGTGTATGTTTCTGTAAGTTTTGTGTATTGTTTTGTCTTTTGAAATTATCAACTTCTGAGTGGCGAGTAAAGGTGGAGGAGTTGTTGATCGAATTCTCGGCTGTGGTGGAGTGAATGCTGGTTTTGGTCTTATCGTACTGTATTCAGCGATGGCTAAAATTCAAGAATCAATTTTTGTTCTTAAAGACTGACATATTGTTTGGTGTCTGGGTGAGATGGTGGTTCTTTGTCTAGGTCGAAGATTTGGCGTGGCAGGAGCTGAAAGGGGAACAATGATTTAACAGTGATTTTTCGAATACCTCTAGTTGTTGTTCGAATTCTTTGCCCTCCCTTTATTCTGTTTCCTTTAATCGGTCGTGGTTTCCTTGTTGTAAACAAGAATTCTTCGGCATCCGTTGTTTCCGTAGCTGGCCGCTGAATTTGTATAGATTATTTTTTATCTGTGTCTTTGTCCTTGTAAAAATCTTTTTTTCAAATTTACTTGTGTGCCTCCAATCGCTGAGTTTGGCTTTGGGCGATACTTTTTTCCTTGAAACTGAAAATTTCAACTAGAAAGTTCTAGAAAGAACTAGAAAGTTCTAGAAAGTTATGAAAATTTTCTACGAACAGGTATCCCCCTTCCAGGCGTATCAATTCTGCAAACACGATCCACTGGATCAAAGAGAGTTCCCGGTTGACAAGGGACGATCCAAACCACTCCCGAACCTGAGCATTGACGATATCTAGATTAGAAAGATGAATCTTTAGCTGATTATATTTGAATCACTTGTGAGGATTTCCTTGAATTGGCTGCAATCCACCAAAAGTCTCTGGAGAACAGATTTCTCTTGTGAAAATCACATCACCCAGTGCTAAAATTTGTCTTTTATTGTCCTTGATTTCTTAGCTCGTTCAAAAGATTCAAAAGATCTTCTTCAATCTTTCTTCATTGTTTTGTACAGACAGACTTTCCGATTATGGGCAAGTGGATGAGTTTCTGTAATCCGAGCCAGCCATGGACACTCACTCAAAGGCATCCAAAAGAAAACAAAAAAACTATAGAAAAGAGGTGAGCACGCGTCGTGGTGGCTGTCCGACAATCGGGCCCAAATAATCGAGAAATCGAAAAGTCTCGCATGAAAGAAAGAGAGAGAAGGCCGTATCCGGAAGCGGCACTCTGCTCCTCTCTTTCCATCTCTCTATTCACTCATCCATCCTATTCATCATCGATTCCACGCCCGATCGCCAGCGTTCCTTTTTCTGTCTCTTTTCTTACACGTGGTCCGAGCCTTGGGACTCTTCGAGTGGATGTTTTTACTCAAAAAATCCTCCACTTCACGTCGCCAACTTCTTAGCAAGTTTTATGAAAAGATTAAAGACTCAGAAATCAATTAAAAAAAATAGCTTACTATCGTTTTCCTTAGATAAGCTTAAGCTAAAAGATTTAACAAGAATTATGGAGTTTTTGGCTACAGTACTGGACAATGAAATATCATATTTGAAAAACGATCGTCACTTTCGCGCGTCTGTAACCCCCTTGTCTTTGAGTTTAAACTATTAGTGTTATACATTTTCTGAAAGCTCTTTTCAACGGCTACACAATGGTAATATTAATATTTAAAAATACGGTAAAGACAAGGGAGTTATAGACGCGCGAAAGTGACGATCTTTTTTCAAATATGATATTTCATTGTCCAGTAGTGTATCTGTGATACACACAAGAACCCAACAAATAAGTACATTTAGTCTAGTGTTATAAATTTAGCAAAAACTTATTTGAATAAGAATAAAGACTGTACCTGTATAGATCAGCACGGGGATCAGATGGACCCATGGCCCATGCCTCATGCCACACAAAACGAGAAGCCAGCCCTCCTCTGCACTGATTTACCACTAGAAAAACTCGATATGAAAGAAAAATTAAGTGAATTTAGCTTTTCAAATATTTTAAATGCTTTCAATTTTTCAAAATAATTGTTTGAAAGAAAGAAATATTGAAGGGAAACGAAACGAAAAAATCTCAATCAGTCTACATATAGTTGTGTTTTTATCAAACAAAAAATACTTATTAAATAAAGAAAATAAATGTCTAAAGAGGCTTGTAGAATCTTAAGATCTTAAGATCGCGAAAAAAAAAGTCTTCCAAAAGTCTTTCTTTCCCCAATTCGACCATTGGGTCATCGGCTGTAAGACTGGGGCGCAAAAAGGGGTTAAATAAAAATGGAAAACGATTAGAAGAGAAAAGAAGGCGTGAAGGTATCATTACGGAGGGTTTTTGGCGGATCGCACCAAAAAGACTACAGTCAACAGCTGGCCCAAACAAGGCGATGAAGGAGAAGAAGAAAGAAATGGGAAGACGGCGATGAGAAGAAAATGGAAGTGAAGGGGAGGGACTTGACTTGGAAAAGAAAGATTCATACTTAAGAGATGACAATCCACAAGTCAAGGTATTCAATATCTAAGTCTAGATATTGAAATAGATTAATGTTTAGATTAGTGGCTAGAGAAATCCACGGTGGCTAGAGAACCTTAAGAACTAAAGAAATCGATTAATCAGCACTGTAGTTCATTTGTGAAAAAATAATAAAAATAAAATAGTTAAAGGGATATTCGAAAAAGGCGAAAAACAATAAAAGGTCATAAAAACGTGAAAAGAAAAAGAAAAAAAAAGAAAGAAAAAGAAAGAAAAAACTCATTAAATACCCCAAAACAAAACCATGAATTAACTTTCAGTTGGTTAGCTGAATATCTTAACGGTTTTTGCTGGTTATGCTCGGCGAGAAATTGTTACCGTAGTCCAGACAAAAACTACGGTAGAATTAATTCTATTATATAAAGGTTCCTTTACATTGCATTTTTGAAATCCCAAACGCATTTTTTCACAGTTTTTCATAGTTTTCTCTGGGTTTTTAGTGTTTTCAGGGTTTTTCTTTATGCAATCATTGTAGAGGAGGCTGAAACGCGTCAATTGGTATCCCAAATAATCGTGGTTCTAGAAAATCACTTTTTGGAACCAGAGTACCCCTTTAAGCAATTGCAACAGATACAAGAGAAACGTTTTTTTCATAAAACAAGGATTACGGTAGGTAGATGCATATGGAAAAGATCAAATGACTGATCGCAAAAAGCGATACTTTCTGCAGCAACACTGAAAACCGAATACGGAAGTTGAACGATCAGAAAAGAGAGACGGTAGATAAACGGAGCAATCAGGTAACGAATTGAGGAGACAAATAGAAAATGAAGAGGGACGAAGAAGAGAAGAAGGGGTGCCGGAGGGGATGTGGTGGGTACACAGGAAACTGTCAACGAGCCCCCCTTCCCCTCCCCTCCCCTCCTCCACCCCTTCAGTTCTCCTTTAGCCTCTAAAGCCGCCCTCCCTCAATAACAATCACTTGATCATCACAAGAGCTTTCCTCTCTTCATCTCACTCAACTCTCACTTTGAACTTTCTGCATGGTGATGCGATCGGTCACTCAAAAACCCCTTCAACTGATAAATTAAAAATTTGCATTGTGATTGTGAAAGTTTAACTGATATGGCTGTTATTGTTATATTTGTGAATCTGAGTTCAACCTCTTCAGATAAATCAAATCCTCAGAACATTGAACTTTCATTGAAAAATCTAGGCAATCTTTTAATTGCTAATTGTAAGATCAGCAGCAATTCAATTTTTAGTGTTCCATAGTACATAAATATAACTTTAAAATGTTTATTCAACAATTTCATTGATATTTAGTATTGAAATAAATGTAAACCTGAGCTCTTTAGAATAAAGAAAAGGATATGAAATGTGGAATATGAAATATGAAATATGAAATATTAAATGTGTCCTATAAAATAACGAATCAAAGATATGAATTGAAAGATGGGAAAAACAGAATCGAGGATATTTAGAGGATCAGAATAGAGGATATTTAGAGGATCAGAATAGAGGATCTTTAGATAACTCGTAACTTTGATGCATCGGGAACTTTTTCTGCGAGAATACACCTGAAATTTTGCATAAGTTTTCATAAGTTTCGTCCTTTTTTTATTTAATTAGCTTACCAGTTTCCATGTTCGAATTGCGAGGAGAGAACTTTTAACTGAGGAATCGACGAGATCAAAGCCTCGAGTTCACCCTTTTTGAACACATGATAGAATCGATAAAAAGTCACCTAAATATTAGAGAAAGAAACGATAAAAAGTCACCTACTAGTCTTTTAAATTAGACATGGACACTACAAACTAAAAACGTAAACTAGAAAAGCTTTGAATTTGCCTCAAATCTGCCGGATTGACAAGAGCTATAGCTTAAAAAATAGAGAATCTCAAGAGCTTTCGGAATGGACTAAAGCACATTCAAAAATATTAATTCTAAAGAAAGTTACAGTGATTTGTAGCCTGACTCAATCGCTTCGACTACGCGCGAGTACAGTCCGTTTCAAGTCAGTCTACAAACCACTGTAACTTTCGTTAGAGCTGCTATTTTTAGGCGTGCTTTGCTTCAATCGAAAGCTCTTCGTATTCTCTATTTTTTTGAGCTATAGATCATATCAATCCGGTAGATTTGAAGCTAGTTAGAAGCGTTTGTAGTGTCACAGGTGATAGGACAGAGATTTTTTTTAGTTTATAGTGTCCATATCGATTTCGAATTTCTTTTTACTTTTCTTAAAGTAGCCAATGCTTCTTGAAGGGCTGTTTGCATAATATCTTGAGTCATTTCATCAGCCAATTGCTCCTCAACCGGGATCAACAATGATGCAAGCCGTTTACCTAAAAGTTCACATAATTGAAAGGCAATATTTTTCATTATAAAGTTAATGATTTAAAATTTTCAGTGCTTTTTTTTTCTTTTCAATAAGCTCACCAAGCATTGGACTCCATTTTCGGATACCGGTTAAAATAGTTGACGAGCTTCGTGGTGTTGGGTTAAAGCTTAAAAATTCTATTAGAAATTGTCTATTAGAAAATGAATGCTCGATTTTAAAGCGCTTTAAAATCAACCTAGGAGCAGCTGGGGGTAAATCAAGCGATGGTTTACGTAGTAAACGAAATCTTTCAACAAAAGACGAAAACCACGAGGGAGAAGGACACGAAGCTGCCTCATCATTCACGATTTCCACGGCAATCGACGACTAGAATTTCTCATTTTATTGAGTTTTTGAAAACTTAGAAAATCTAGTAGAAAAACTTAGAAGATCAATAGAAAAAAAAACCCTTCTAAATCTTTTAGATTATCTAATCCGTGCTACCTGGATAATCCTTTGCTCTTTTGTGGATTCTTTGTGAAATTTCACTTTTGGCAGTCTGCCATTCAACGCAGTTTCGTGAAGATTCCATGGCACGAGCACGTCCTACAGCTCTTTATAAAATCTCTTAAACAAGTTAATAAACCTGAGACGGAAATGTACCATTCGGTTGTTCGAAAGCCCACACGTAAACAAGCGCTTTCCCTGAAAATTCATCGCTAATGGCTGGGACTTTAAATACTTTTTCCGAGAAAATCCTGGGTTAGCGCTTTAAAGCGTGGTAAAACTACCGTACCCCTCGTAATTTGCGCGAAATTTCATTTTTTTCGTTCTTGTTCATTTCATTTTATTCTTTTTGTGTTTTTCTGATGTCTTGTTTTTGTTTGTTTGTTTGTTTTTGTTTGTTTGTTTGTTTTTGTTTGTTTGTTTGTTTGTTTTTGTTTTTTTGCAGGACAATAGTAACTAAAATATCAGTTAGACAGAGGATAAAGTTAAGTTACGTTTTTAACAACATTTTCTGTGGCGAAAGTTTGTAAAGTTTTTAGACCCACTTGCTTCCAGACGATCTGTTCCACGAACTTAATGCCAACTAATGTTAAATTAAGTGGTTTTTATCATTTTCTATGGCGGAAGTTTTGTTTTTTCGACTTTTTAATTGAAAAAGCGTTGAAGCGTTGAAAAAAACGTCAAAAGAATAGAATGAAATTTTGCGCAAATTGGGGGTACGGTAGTTTTACTATGGCTTAAAGCGCCAATCCAGGATTTTCTCGGAAAAAGGACGCAAATTTTTAAATTAGTAGCAAGCTGTTTAAAATTTCAAGAACAAAAAGGGAAAAAAGGAAAATTTCTTGTTGCTTTGAAAGACATAAAAACTGTTAGATTGAAAGGTGGATCACCGCCAGGCCTAAGCACATTTGCTAGTTGTTGCATGGCATCACGACGTCTCAATTCAGTGGAAAAATGATGTAACACCGAGACACAAAGAGCCGCATCAGCAGAAGCTCGCCTGGATTCTTTTTATGGATCACCTGGATTCATTTTTCTACCTGAATGGTAGCTCAAGTCCATCCGCTAAAATATAGTCGACACCGCCATTTCGTGGAACCTGTATGTTGTTTGTAAAGAAAAAAACAAAACTCTCTCACAAACCTTCACCAAGAGATCGGCACATGTGTCAACGCCCAAAATGACACCCCCAGGGATACGATATTTTCCCTCTCCACACCCTGAAACGCGTTTTATTCGTTTTTTTTCCAAATTCTCTTACAAACCGATATCAACGACCACAGAGCCTTTGTTTAACTCTTCAAGGAATTGACGAATCTAAAAGTTTCACCCACATATTTGCGCCGATTTCTTACTTACCCTTGGCCAAACTCTCGGTGATGTCGGTTTCGCTTCTTTCGTGTTCGAGTAAGCAGCCAAACGGGAATAAACCTAAATCTTAATCCTTAAAATTTTCTTCTCTCAAGCGTGTGAAATTTTACAAAATTTTACAGCAACGAAACCTGTTGAACATATTCCTCTTCGACTCGCAACATGTTCATTCGATTGATGCCCCTGGGTGCAAGGTCATCTTTTAAATTTCTGAAATTCAAACGCAAATTGAAATTGGGTTGATTTGGCCACATGAGAACATCATTGAATACAAGATTGCGGGCGACAAAAGTGAGAAGAAAACACAGGAAGAGGGCCACGCCCCGAAAAAAAGAAGAAAAGAAAAGAGGAAGGGAAAAATGGTGTCGATCCAGAGGAGATGACAAGAAAAAAGCTGGCGGTGATGAATTAGCAAAGAGCATCAATGGGAAAGCGTGGAAATGGCAGAAAAGGAGGGTAAGATGAGAGAGAAAAGGGGTGAGGAGGAAGAGGTGCAGTAGTCAGCGAGCAAGCACCGAGAGGTGCGCTAGATATTGATCTTGCCGCGGGTGCCCAAAGAAGTGCCAAAGGTGAAGAGGCAAACCCTACAAAGATTTTTTTTTTCCCACTATGGGCCATTTTCTCTCATTTCACTCTGCCACAAAATAATCATAAAAGTTTCTCGGTAACAATTCGGAATTGAATTCTTTTTTTACTTTTTGATTTAGGTTTTCGATGGTGAGCAAAAACAAATAGCCCATCCACCATCGCGGAAAACTTTTGATTTCACGTAGACGCGTTTTATCTGATAGCTACAACTCAAGCATTTATATTTACCGTAACAATCAACAACAAAAACATCATGATTAACATGCACCCGTTATTGGCGAAATATGTATGACTAACAATAAGCATAAGAGTACAAATCGGCCATCAATAAAGGAAAAGAAAAAACAATCTAATCTTATGAGGTCGGCAAGAAAGTTCGTAGAAAATGATTTGCACGGTGATTTCTCAAAAAGCAAGCCATGAATTCTTCCCAGATTTTTTGATAAACTATATTTCAAAAAGTTTTTGACAAAAAAATCAGAGTGTGCTTCAGGTAAAAAAATAAGAGATTTCTTCAGTTGAAGTGACTTGGTCACTTTTTGAGCGACCAGCCTTTAGACGAGTTTTTAATGGGTTAATGGGTAGGCAACGGGTCCCATTAAAAACCTAAAATGAAGTACTTAAAATAGGGAAAATTTGTGATTAAGACAAATTTTATCTAATGCTTTAACTTTTCAGAATGACCTATTTTAGCAAGCACTCAGTGCCGAGAAGATGACACCAAAAAATTATTTTTTAAAATACAGCTTCTCTGTAAAAATTTTTGGCCAATAATAGAGTTTATAGAGCGTATTGCTCATTTATGCTAGCTTTACCTCATAAGGAATCATTTTTCTGGTGCAAAAAGTAAGCTGAATTTAAGCTGGAAAATAATAATTTTTCAAAAATCTCTAAATTTTCAGGGAAAGCTGCACTTATTTTTTTACGAGTAATTTCTTGGGGTCGACTTGTAAATAATAGAACAAAATGTTCTTGAATTGGTTGATTTTTAAGAAATTCCAGTCAAACTTTTTCTGAGAACTTTCTTTCCAACTAAATAGCAAAAGTGTACAAACGGGAAAAAAAATACAATCGTATCTGAAGGGACTAAAACAAATTGTTCAGTTCCCCAAGTCGTTTTTCTTTTTTTTCGTCCCATCTCACTTTCCAAGCCGGAGGAGGTTTCTGTCGTTCGTTGTTGCTCGAAGAAAGTTGTTCTAGCTTGGGATCCGGCACATTACCCATGACGCGAGCAGCATTTGAAAGCGTTCGATAATCAACACCATAATCGGCTTGCTTGAAGAGTTGCTCCATTTCCTATAAAAATCAATTAAAAATGGTATCCAATTTGTTTAACTTACTTTTAATTTTAGCTCGGTTTTATCAGCAATGAAACGGATTTCTGGTACGCTTCCGCCACCCAGCGATTCAGAGAGTTGTCGTCGAAGGGAATGCCTTTCTTGTTCAAGTAATTGCTCAATATCCTCATCCCCTTCACCTTTGCAAATCCAGTTAACCGACAACAATGAAAATCCCTTGTCTACAGTCACCTAAAGCTACTTAATATGCAAAAAACTTCAAACTCGCAAACCCTTGAAAACATTAAATCCTTTCCTGCTAACTTGTCATGGCATCCAATAATTTCGATCAATCTTAAATCTTAAAGTGAAGCATTTGCAAAAAAGAATCAAACCTGCGCTGAAATACTTCAGTGATCTGTTTAACTTTTTTATCATCCAACCGCCTATTTTTGCTTCCAAGGGAAAGAAGAATCATCCGATCACTCAACCTTTAAAAATTACTGTTACTGCAATGTATATACAAACTTACCCAACATCCAACCCATAACGTCGACCGTATTGCATTGTAAAAATTCTATCCATCGAATCAGAGAACCTAATTCATTACACATACTTTAAACGCAAAATTCAACCAACCTCCAAGACTGTTTTGGCATCACTCCGTATCCTCCCTGAGCTAAATAAGTTAATTCTTCATGAAAAATGTAAAAATAAACCTGCATTTCTTTTGTTTCGCAAATCAGGTCCTCGTTTCATCCGAACTTGACTCAAAACCGTTGATAATCGTAAACTGCATATCTTTCGAAAATATCCATAAATCATATTTTTACGACTTGCTAAAACGTGGAATTGCTTTCTGAAAAATATATTAAGAGCGTGGAATCTGAGGATTTAACCTTAAATCTATGAATTTAAAAAAGCACGCACATAGACTTTATTCATATAAGTTTTTCAATCCACAATATAGCAAATAAAAATTTATACAGCGCTATTGTTCAACATCATATTGTGAATCTGCTTCATGTGTACTTCAACGCAATCTTGAAACGTTCCCAAATTTTGTGGCATAATCTAAAATCCTTTTTGATTTAGAGTGCAATTGGGGAGAAAACCTGTGATCGAATTTCATTAATAGACTCATTTAGCGACTGCAAATCCAAAGGAGTGCACTTCTGTTGACCGAGTTGACGAACCTAAGTGAAAAAATTTTTTCTCGCTGGCTATACATACATACCTGCAATAAGAGACTAGTCAGATTAGTAATCAGGTCCATGGCGCGCTTGCTGTGGATGTGACTGTTCATCTGATTTCGGCAATGCTTAACAATCTGCACAGCATGCGACATTGAGACTTTTCGAAGAGCTTCTGGGCGGGAGATCACCGAAACCTAAAAATGCCAATAAAAAGAAATGTAAAAGTTTGCCAACTTGTTTAAAAGTTTTATATAAACAAAATGTCACCTCTGAAAGCTGTGGCAGCAATTGATTGTGGTATTCATGCACGCCTTGCATATACGTGTTCATTTGTTTGTTTAATTGCTCGAGGTCAACGACAACTTGGGCATATTTTTCCTGAAACACCAAATAAAGGGTTGATCAAATAGATCGATAGACAGACCTGAAAAGTGAAATGATACTGATCCGATATTAGGTTGACTCGTTCAGCTTCATTGTTTAATTCGGCCAGCTGTCGCACCAAACCTCTTTTAGCCTCCAACAATTTTGAAAGCTTCACCAAAATTACCAGAAGACGCACTGGGAAATTTCCAACTTTCTCATCTTTTGCTAAAAACAAGACCATTCAAACATGCGATAAAAAACTTACATTTCTTAGCACCTACAACTCCAAGTTGCTTGGTGGCAGATGCCATCACTACATCGTTTCTGTGCGTATGAGAGCGATCAGTGAGTATCTTAAAAGTTTCGTCAGAAAATTTTCTTACCAAATTCTCACTTTTCCACCCGGGAGAATCGGGGTACCAGTAATTTTTAGTGCTGATGGGAGTGCGGCTCTGAATCCATTAATGTCTCATTAAAAAATAAGATTCTTACTTATTTTGTTCCAGGAAATAACTGAGCGGCAACAATTCGTTTGTTGTATCAGACATAACTTCGGTGCCACGCACGACAGTCGGTTGTAGCATTTCTTCCTTTAAAAAAATATTATTCATAAAGCTTTCTTTAAAAAAATAGCGCTTAACTTGATTACTCACTTTTTCAAAAATGACTCGATAGCCTTCGGGTAAAATCGCATCAATAGTTCCGGCGTAAATTCCATCTTTTGGATATCTGACTCGAGCGTAAATTTTGACACCTAAACGTTTAACTTTTTACAATAAGAAATTACGCTCATACCAACAGCGAGTGGCCTGGGAAGAACTGGAGGTAAATCCGAAAAGTCCATATTTCCATCAAGAACCACCGATCCGTCGCAAATCTATTGAATTAAGTTTATAAAAATGATGTCATTCTGAACCAACAAAGATGCAACTCAAAAAGTTACCTGTTTAATTTTTGTTCTTTTAATTTCAAGTTGATGCCGTTCTTCTTCAAGGAATGCTGCACTACATCTAAACCAAAAATGTGTTTAAGTATATCTTGAAAATATACCTCCTAGGCTTGCCAACAAGTCTTCTAATAGTTCTCCACTCAGGTCGACGCAACCATCGGGTTTTCAGGTTTGGAAAATATTCCCTGCAAAAATATTTAAAGAATGTCATTAAAATGTTATGCTTACCTCAATAGCTGGCTAAACTCATTTTCGGCATTGAAAAGCTGTTCATCAATACTTGAATAAAAGAATTCGCAGTATACCCAACGCCGCGCTTTTGGAAGTTTCAGCACATTCTTTAGGCTAAAGAGCAAATATTCAATAAATAAGCTAAAATCCACTAACCGTCTTAAATTTTCTCTGATCGATTCCGTTAAATCAGAATGTTGTGTTCTTATTCTTGTCCGCTGATTGACTCCCTAAATTTAATTTGTAAACTGTCTAATTAAAGACTCACTCTCGAATTGTCAACAAAGACGCCTTGAGGAGCTCTAAGACTTGCCGTGGAGGATAGTGCATATGATTTTTGCGGATTAGTTACAGTCTAAATTAATAATAATTAGCTTAGAATAATAGCGCTACATCATAAAAAATAAACTGATACCCCTTGGTCGTCGTGATGGTATGCTAGCGATTCGTATGCATCATCAACATTAATGGATTGATCCACGTCTTGATACTAAATGGTCTTATGTAGTTCCCAGCAACGATATTTTTTTAGATATCGGGCTATATAATAAGCAAATAAATAATAGCTTAACAAACTAACCTGACTGGAGCCAATGTACTCTTGCTGTTGTACAACGCCATCTGTATTTGCTGCTGTTCTTTGGGAATAGCTTGACTAAACTTAAAAATACAATCCGAACAGCCATCAAGCGCTTACCGCGCTAAATTCGCCATATTCATCAGGTGAAGCAACAATATTTGCCTTCTGACCCGAAGCGCCGGATGAATATCGAATTTGCTGTGGTTTTCCCTAAAATTCTATAATGTAATTTAAATAAATTTCCTTACATCAACCTCCATCAATGTATTTGCTTTTTTATTTGGCGATTTTCTGAAAACGTGAACTTATTATCGCGAACAAAACAACAAAAAGATACCGCTTAATTGGCGATTTTCTTGAAGCCTCACTTTCAGTATACTCTCGGAAACGAGCAGAGCACTAAAAATTTTAATAAATTTATAGATAAGCAAGTTAAACACATACTTTTGCTTGTTCTCTCAGACCATAACGAGAATCACTCGTTCTTTCTCTCGATAAAGATGACATTTCCTAAAAAAAGAAACATTAATCAACAAGTCTTTTCAATTATTGATAAAAAACTTCCTCGGCTAGAATTTAATTTTTGCAACATAATAAACTGAAATTGCTAAAGTGTTTAAAGTTGCATACCCAGTGAAATCCTTCCATTAAAAATCGTTTTCAATTGGGCGCCGCCGAAGAAAATGGGTTTCGACGCGAAGGGATTGCCTTTCCAGTGGCTTTCACGCTAAAAAAATAATTTCATAGCATGCCAATCTTAACCGTTGACTGTAACGAAAATTATAAAAAAGTCTACTTGGCTATCTAAGTACCTTGTTCTGAGATTGATTGAATATTTAAATGCATGTTTAACACATATGAGCGTAAGATATTCTGTTATGAATTTTAAGGTATAACCTATAAATTCCTTGAATTTTAAGGTATAAATCCCTTGGGCTCGGAGGTTTGGCACTTTTGTTTCTAACCGCAAACTTCCGTAATTTTTCCCAATTCGCTTATAAATTGTATAGTTCTATAGTTCTATCATTTCCATATTGTCTCGTCCTTCGTAAACATCATCGATACATCCACAAACCAATCTTGAGTTTTTTAACGCTTTTGATGATGTAACTTTTTGCAATCTTACTTTGACTATTCTTTTTCAAGTTAATTTTGCTATATACATAATTTTTAAAGTTTAGTTCCATTCAATGATTTATGGACGCACTTGAAAAGTTGAATCAACACTTAGAAGATTACCCATACGTCGGAGGGTAAGATTTTAAATTTTAATAGCTTTATTCGCGTGTTTTTAGTTTCACACTATCTGACGCGGATTTTCAAACTTGGAAGGGACTATCGGCCGTAGAAGTAGTACCATACGACCACGTCACTCGTTGGTATCGAAATATCGCCACATATCAAGAAGAATTCTGCACAGCAAAAACGCAAACGACAACAATGCAGCTGATTGACAAAGACTCCGTTGAAGAACTTTCTTCGTGGGCAATATTTACTTCAACAAATAACTTTTTTCTTTTAGATTGATCTTGCAATCGCTTTCGAAGACGAATGAAGAACTAAACTCGATTTTGTTGGCTGCCGAGTTAAACATTGATCATCAAAAGGTTACGGGTGCAATTCGAAGTCTGCTTGCTCATGAAGGGGTACTTTTTGTTTTTGAGCTTATTGCAAAATAATTCTTTTAGTTGATTTCTACTAAAGATGTGTCTGAAAAACGAATTCAACTCAGCGAGGAAGGCTTAGATATGGCAAATCACGGATCACACGAGTATAAACTCTTCATGACTGTTGGTGTAAACGGAGTCTCACAAAAGGAAGTTCAGGTATTTGTTTATTTTGTTTTACGTACTTTATTTTATCGCAGGCTCTTCCTTTTGCAAAAGTTGGAATTCCAAAAGCCATGGCTGCAAAATGGATTGGTACAGTCAAAGAGGGAAATGATGTCAAGTTAGTGCAAAAGATCGCTCCCGAATCGGTGTTGGATAAGGTTTATTTGGGTTTTTTTTAGTTTTCAGAGAGTATACTTCTAGGTTGGTGAACTTTTGAAACAAATCAAACTTGGAAGCAAGTTTGATGACAAAGAAATGGCTGATCTAAAGAAGAGAAAACTCGTGAGCGAAGTGTAAGTCCTTACTCAATAATGCAAACTTATTCTGTTTAGGGTGATTAAAGGGTTTCTTGTTGGCAAGGGCTCCAAGTTCTCGACTGAAATCTCGAAACCAGAGCTCGACTTAACGGCAGAAATGATTCAAAAGTATGGCATACCAAGTGTTTCAGTTTTTATTTTTTTCTTTAGTAAAACGTGGACGGACAAAACTTTCAAGAAATACAATTTTGATGCGCTTGGTGTTGAGCCGCCGAGTGGACACTTGCACCCTTTGATGAAGGTTCTTTAAAATGCCTTTATCTAACTCGTCTCTTTAGGTTCGTAGTGAGATTCGTCAAATTTTCTTCCAAATGGGCTTTTCTGAAATGCCCACAAATCGCTATGTGGAAAGCTCGTTCTGGAATTTTGATGCACTCTTTCAACCACAACAACATCCAGCTCGTGATGCTCATGATACATTCTTTATTGAAGGTTTATTGAGAAGTCAAAAGTAAATTATTAATTTTCAGACCCGGCTCGCAGCACAACTTTCCCTAGGGAATATTTGGAGCGGGTTCGCACTATTCATTCTGAAGGAGGCTTTGGCTCTATTGGGCTAGTTCTTTATGCATTTCTATAAATGAGCATTTTAGGTACAAGTATAACTGGAAAGAGGAAGAAGCGCAGAAAAATGTTTTGAGAACTCACACGACTGCTGTCTCGGCAAAGCAACTGTTCTTGTTGGCTGGTGAGGTAAGTTGTTTGTAATGCAAATGCGCGTAAATATTGAGGTTTTAGGGAAAGAATGCGTATCGGCCGGCTAAAATGTTTTCTATTGACCGCGTTTTCCGAAATGAAACGCTTGATGCTACACATTTGGCTGAATTTCATCAGGTATTTGTTCAATTTCGGTAAAGAGTTGTTAAATTTTACTTCAGGTTGAAGGTGTCATTGTGGAAAGAAATTTGTCTTTGGCTCATTTGATTGGAATCTTTACCGAGTTCTTCAAAAAGTTAGGAATCGAAAATTTGAAGTTCAAGCCGACTTACAACCCATACACCGAGCCTAGCATGGAAATTTTTGCTTATCACGAGGTTTGTTGATTACTTCAAATTAAAATAAACATTTTCTATTTTAGGGTCTTCGCAGGTGGGTTGAAATTGGAAACAGTGGAATGTTCCGTCCCGAAATGTTGTTGCCGATGGGTTTTCCGCCAAATGTGAATGTAGCCGGTTATGGATTGTCACTTGAAAGGTAACTTAAAATAAAAATAATTTTATTTTTGGTTTCTTAGGCCAACTATGATTCGCTATGGAATTAACAACATCCGGGATCTTTTTGGACCAAAAGTTGATTTGGAGATGATTCAAAAAGCACCAATTTGCAGATTGGATAAGACTAGTTGATTTTGTTGTTTATCAGAGCTTAATTTATCTTTAAATTTTTGTTGATATGGTTGTTTGGCTTTGCGTTATTTTATAAAACTTTTTTAATGTGAAGGGGCAACAAAATTAATTACAACAACAAATGGCAAAAGAATTCATACTATTAGAATTTTTAGGTTGCCTACGTTAGTTTTCATGACTTTGAAAAAGAAAAAGATCCCTTCCTTTCTTAGGCTTTATGGCTGGTGGTCAATAAAACATTGCAAATAGCTGGAAAACTGGATCTTTATGTAAATTCGTGCCACTGGATTTTTGGGTGAATCCCTGAATTTCCTGAGTAGGATAAACTAATCGGTAAATGGTTACGACAAAAGATTTCGAACAAAAAGGATTTTACATTCCCCATTACAAGGTAATTCGTTGCTGTTCGTTTGAAAGAAAAGTAAAACCGATTTTGCCGAGCTCTCCATCACAAACAAAAAACGAAGAGATTGAGTGATGAGCCAAAGGAGATTCATCTATTGTCCCCTTCTCCGTTCCCATCCCCCTGAAGGATCGGTTTCCACTTTCCTTTCAACCACCCATTTCTCTCTTCTTTCCACCAACTCCCTGACACCTTGACCCCTGATTCTCTCTGTGCTAAACTCTACTTTCTACTTTCCTCATCTCTTTCAACTTTTCTCTACAACAAATCACATCTTTTTTTTATTCATGATCTGCCATTAATCACTCTCGAGAATCAATGAGCGATTTTGGCGCTCGGTTTAGATAATTTATTTTGTAAAACTGTTTGTAAATGGCAAGGGAAAGCTGTAAAAAGAAATGCTTTATCGGCAATCGAAAGAAATGCTTTATCGAAGAGATTTCATCGTGGTTTTTCGTTGAGAGGCCTTTCTTGGTTTGTCAGAGATTATTCTTTGTTTGAGGAAGGGCTTTCCCAGGAAACAAAACCTTTACTGAACCCGAGTTTCACTGAACACCTTTTGCGTGTTGTGCTTTATTTGGGTGAGAGTGAGTGAGCGAAACCAGAACGCTGACCGATGGGATTGGTGTCCGAGTTTGAGCCTCCTCCCTCACTCACTCGCTCTCTCTCCTCTTCTCTTTCATATTCCTATCCCACCCCCTTTTCCCCAATCCATGTTTACTCACTCACCATGTTGTCCCAATTTCACTTCGACTTTTCCAAGCGCAAAATTTTCAATACTTTATTTACTTTAACACCTTTCCTTTAGCAATGAACCTTGTTTTGAGTGGCTAAAAAAGTGAGCTGTTTCGCTTGTTTGGAAAAGCTCTCATTGCCATGGAATGTGCATTTTTTAAGCGAAAAATGGAAAAGAGAACGTTCCTTGGAGAATTCGTGCTCATATTTCACTGTCTTTACAGAATCCTTTTCACTGAGATTCTTTTTCTCTCTTTCCTATCACTTTTTCTCAAAACAACAATACCACTTCTGTTTTTAATGATTTTCTCAATGATTTTCTTGTGCTTTCACTTTTTTTCATATCGATTGAGTTTTGTGGGGGTTTCTTTTTGATAATTTTAACAATTTTGAACCGGTTTCGAGAAATCAGTTGTTTACAGGGTAAAGAAGTTCATTTCAAGACCGCAGTCTAATTTTGGAAAACTTTACTTATGTCATTTCAGGTACAGGTAATTATATTTATGCAGGTGGAGTATCTGGCAAGACCATAACGAGAATCACTCGTTCTTTCTCTCGATAAAGATGACATTTCCTAAAAAAAGAAACATTAATCAACAAGTCTTTTCAATTATTGATAAAAAACTTCCTGGGCTAGAATTTAATTTTTGCAACATAATAAACTGAAATTGCTAAAGTGTTTAAAGTTGCATACCCAGTGAAATCCTTCCATTAAAAATCAGTTGTTTACAGGGTAAAGAAGTTCATTTCAAGACCGCAGTCTAATTTTGGAAAACTTTACTTATGTCATTTCAGGTAATTATAGGTGGAGTATCTAGGCAACAAGAAGGGCGCGTCTCTTCTTTCTCTCTTCGCATTTCCAACCCATCCCATCATCCACCACATATTGTTATTGAAAAGTGTTTACTCGTTTCGATTTAAATTTCGAAAAGTTCAACAATGATTTTTGCCTTAAAAATCCCCGAAAATCTAGCACACTCTTATTCATTGGTTGAGTCATTCACCGGTCAAGCATCCATTGCTCATTCAATCGACAAAAAGGCATTCATTTCTTTGCATGTGCTTTCAAAGCCTTTCCAGTGAGCGTCGACTCAATCCATTATTTGCTCAGCCTCTTTCCAAGCAAATATTCATTCAAATCTCGCCGATCCCATATTGGAGAAAAAGCGTAAAACGAGAAAGAGTGTGAACAATCAGCTTTCAGAAATCTTCTTCTTTTTTTCCATTTTCTTCCCGAAATCAAACTCTTTTCTGCAAAAAAAACTGAAATTTTAAACAATAAGTTTTACTTGAAAAAGATTTCTAGAAAAAAACCTTGAACCTAAAGAGCTTATAGCTAAGAAGAGCTAAGAGCTTATAGCTGTAAACAAGAATTAAGTCTAGATCACTCGAAAATAATTATTGACAGCCCCTGACAATCAAAAGAATCCCCATTTCTCAACCGTTTATAGCTTTTTCATCAAATGCTTTGCAAAGTTACTCATCAAAACATTTCTCATCATTCCGTATGTTTTGCGAGAATGTAATCATTTTCCGATTTGTTGGAGCGGAGAAATTTGCATCGTTTGTGGGCATATGTGATGTCGACAAGCAAACGACTCTCGGAGTTGAATCAAAGCAAATTGAGCGGAACACATACCACCGCGTTTTCACAACTTTTTCTCAAGAGGCGAAAAATGTAGAAACCGGAAAAGAAACTGAAAGAGGAGGGGGGGGGTCTACGAGAAATGAGCTTTATCCCATTGACATCGATCCGATTTGCAACACTTTCTATACAATCTTTTATGCTAACAATGAAAATAGGTCAATCTATGCTTCTCTTTTACATCAAACTTATCCAATGATTTTTGTATAAATAAGAAATTTGCTTTGCTTTGCTTTTCTATTGCTTTAAAGCGGTTTGGTTGCATCGAAAGATTGCAATCATTCCATCGAATATTTTCTCAAATCAGATTCGTATTGTATATTGTATCCTTTCAAACGTTTTCTTTTGAAAACTCATAAAAATCTAAAATAAGCGAGAAACAACAAATTTCTATGCGCATTTTGAATCCGAAAAGAAACGAAAAGAAACGAAAAGACTTTCTGGAAAGCCTAAGTTTCTTTTTTTTTCTCGACCTCTGACCTCCTCTTACACCCATTCATTTATCGTTGATGTCGATCTGAGAAAGCACTCATGGCCACTTGTCATCAAGATTTCAAGCTCGTGTTTGCTTCAAAACAATTTTTCTTTTTGCCGCCGAGGAATGCGCAGAGAGAAATGAGCTGGTCTAGGATGTGGGTGGATTGCTCGGCCCGTACTCCCCCTTTTTTTTCCCCTCGTGTTCTCCTAATTCAATTTTCACACAACTTCCTTTCTCATGGCAAATGGCAAATGAAAAGAAATCAAATTTTGAACTCTAATATTTTTTTCAAAAGTTGATTTTCGAGATTTCACTTTTTTGAATTTTCAGAGCTTTTGAACTCTAACAATAAAAGGTTGACAGGATTATGAGAAGCTGGAATCAAGCGAGCGATCTTTCTAGTTGATTTCCTCCACTTCGCACTAGATAAGCATACACACATCCAGCTTTTCCACACTTTTTTTTTATTTACTCTTTTCTCTGTCTGATTTCTTTTCCACTTTTTCATTGGGGAACAACCTTGCGAAAATTCGACAGTGTAAGCAAAAGTTTATTACTATTTTTCTTTTTTTTTTGGCTGAAATATCAAGTCTCAATGAAATATGGGTGAGTGGGGAAAGAGAATGAATGGGTGAAAGGAGAGGCGATGTCCCCGGGGCCAACTCATGAATATTTTTTGGGGGGAATTGGTCGACCACTCTTTGTCACTGAGCATGCTTCTCCGATTGGCCTTTTCTACGGAAAATCTAGGCTCTTTACTTTTGCAAAAACTTTTTAATGTACCTATCCAGAGATTTTTCTTTTTCCTTTTTGAATTTTTTTAGACATCTTGTTGTTGTTGTTTTGCTTTTCCGCTATTCCCTATTTTTTAAAACTATTGTATCCATTCGTATTGGTTCTCAAAAAGCTTGCCGATGGTTTTCTTTTTGAACAAGATGTTTATTTGAAAACGATCAAATCGGCATTTTGATCGCTGCCTCTACAATCGACACCTATTTACGAGTCATCGTTTGCTAGAGTGTCTCCTTTTCTGTCTTGTCCTACTGTAGTCGACCTTTTCGGCTATATAAAGCGGTCTTTTTCTTCATTTTCGCGAGTGGGACAAATGCGACCTTTTTTTTGCGCACCCGGACATTTGCGCACATTTTTCCGCACCTTGCCCATTAGCGCACCTTTTTTCGCGTTTTAAAAAGCTCTAAAAAGCTAATATTAACCAACTTCTATTCCAAATGTTGTTTTTCTAGGTAATTTGAGGGTGTCGAATTCAAATTTTGACATAACAGAGCATGTGGAACCAATTTGAAAGACAAAACGGCTAGATCAAATTAAAGAAAATTGTCGATTTTTCTCTTTGTATAACTCCGTCCGTTTGTTTCCACACGCTTTGTTATGTCAAAATTTGAATTCAACACCCTCAAATTACCTAGAAAAACAACATTTGGAATAGAAATTGGTTAATATTAGCTTTTTAGAGCTTTTTAAAACGCGAAAAAAGGTGCGCTAATGGGCAAGGTGCGCAAATGTCCGGGTGCGCAAAAAAAGGTCGCATTTGTCCCACTCCCTCATTTTCTTCATTTTTTATTGTTTGTATCGATAAAATCTCGTGGTTTTGATCACATTCAAGACAAACAAGTTATCAACCACGGGCATTGTTTAAATATTGTTATCGCTATTGTTATCGTTATCGTTATCGTTATCGTTATCGTTATCGTTATCGTTATCGTTTAAATACAAGTATAAATCGCCAGTAAAACCCCTTTAGTTTCTAAACCATTGACACTTATTCACTGTTTAGTATTCGATCGCCTTTTTTTTGCATTTTTGACGTGGATGCATCGATCATTCCACGGGAGGGCCAAATTGGCGATCTTTTTGCTTTTTTCATTTCCCCCAGTTTTGACATGCTGGGGAAAGGGGGCATTCGATTGAGCGGTAGGGCCTTTTTTTCTTTTGAATGCCCCCTGCCCCCTTCTCTTCCAATTTCACAATATGTGCTTCCACACAACCTTTGTGCGACATTTTTTTTTGATAGAACAGTTGATAGGACTTTAGTCCTCTTAATTCTGTACTTTGCAATCATTCCTTTCCATACCTAAGTATAATAGTTCTCATTTTTTGCTTATCTTTATTATCTTTGAGTGTAAAAACTTTCAGAATGACCTCAGATCCGATAGTTTTGCTCACGACTTCGATGGAGGAAAAGGGAAATAAAGACATGGTGAGTGAAAAGAAAATTTCATGTAAACGAATCAAATTTTAGTATAACAACGATGAGGTGGCTGTGATGAAATTGGCGCTTTTGGAGGAACAACTATCGTCAGTTCGAGAAAAAGTTGGATTATTGGGGAGAACTTTGGACAGAATAGGATTTTAGATGCCACTTTTGGAGGCGGTGATTGTGCAATTGAGTGAAGAGTTACGAGTAAAAGAGGAGCTGATCAATGAACAGAAACATTTGATTGAGGTTTGTGTTTGGTTTATGCATTATGGGCTTTTTTTTTCAGGTACTTGAGGCCATGCACAACAATGAGAAAAATGCGAAGAATGAGAAAGATGAGACGGTATGTGTTTCAAGGCTTTTGGGGAAGTAAAAGAAAATGAAAGGAGTGTGGTATGCATTTAAATTAAATTGGCTTAAATTTGACTTGTCAGTGATGAAACTTTATTGCCAGGTTCTTTCACTTTCCCGCTAAATTGTCTTGTTTGCTTGATTAATTTACGAGTCCCTAGAGAAGGGGAACAAGGTGTGAGAATGTCCATAGTCGATAAGAGCACGAGGAGGGAAAGGGGGTCAAATGATCATCCTAGCATCAGTAGTGTGTGTCCAATTGCGCGTTCGTCTTGTTACACTCACTTTTGGCCAACTCCACTATGAGACGGGAAATCGGATCAGCACACACATACAGCCATTCCTTTTTCTATTTCCCCTTTCTCGATCGTTCATCCGACCTGTCTCCCTCACTAAGGACTCATTAGTCTTTTCTTTTTTTAACCGCTTTTCCCTCAAAAATAGCTATCTTTCCGCGAGAATCCTGTGATATCAATTCCCGGGTCTTACTACTAGCATGTCCTATGATGAGGTTAGAAAAAAGTATTTCATTAATAAAGCTTTTTCTAGGAATCAACGAAAAGCGAAGCTGAAGTGACTGTGATTGAGAATCTTGTAGAAGGTTGGTTTCAAACAAAAACGGTAAAATATTGAAAATGTTCAGCAGGAGCCTCAAAACCGGAAAAAGAGACGGAGCAGCCACCGCAATGTATCTATGACGAAGTGGCCCGTTTGAGGATTGGATTGAGCAGGGCAATGGTTGATAGGTTCGTTTGATAAAATTAGGATTTGTTAAGAAACTCAACTACTGTCAAATAGTGTATATGTTACGTCCGAAACGGGACAAGCGTCCTGTTCGTTCCAGACAGGGCCGAGGTCCAGATTTCGCTAGATCTAGCAAAATTTACTAGTTTCACCCCAAAATTCGCAAACTTGGGGAATAACTTGTTTAAAATTTGAAATTTTTTCTAGCTGTTTTTTTAGAAACTAGATGCCATTCTGCAGATATCAAAATTATTTTGACTGGATCGGTCAGAAAAACGGGGTAGTCGGTGATCAATATTTAGGATTATTTTGGTTACTAGTCCAGTCAAAATAATTTTATATGTGCAGAATTGCATCTAGTTTAAAAAAAAAACAAACAGCTAGCAGGAATTTTAAATTTAAAAGAAATTATTCTGTCAAGATTTGCGAATTTTGGAGTGAAACTAGGAAATTTTGCTAGTAAGATCTAGCGTAGTCTGGACCCGGGCCCAGGACGTTCGAAACAAAATCAAACTGAACGGAGTTGGTTCTCGTTCTCTTCAGCAGCTACGCAAGAAATTTGGGGCACTTTTTAGAATCGTTAAATCGAAATTTTTTGTCCCGAGCAAATCGTGAAATCGAGAGTCTGTACAATGAAAATTTTAGGGAAAAGCTCGAGCTCCAAAACGAGCAACTCCTTCGCCAATGGGAGGAGGCTCTCGAATACGTGAGTACGGTAAATTCATGCATCCGAAAATCGATTCTAAATGCAAATTTTCAGGTTCAACGCCAATTGCATGAAGAAATGCAGCGGTGCTGTGGTTTGCAAGAGCAACTGATTGACACCCGAAAGAGACATCAAGATTTGGTAAGATATTGAAAAAGAAACTGTAGCTAAAGTGAGGCAATGATAAAAGTTCTGATCAAAATTAAAATCAAATGAAAAAACGATGAATTTCAGGTGTGCGTCTCGCGTGATTTCGTTCAATTTTTGGGCGTTTTTGCAGCAGTGCTCGCGGTATGGCTGTACATGTTATAAACCAACTTTGATTTTATTTTCTATTATCTTTTCTAAAATAGAATTAATTTCTAAATTTTAATTTTAATTCTAAATTAATTTTATTTATAAAATAATAATTTTGACAATTCCATAGTTGATTTTAGTATCAGTTTTCAAATAGTTTCATTTGTAAATGAAATTTAAACCTCCTCTTAACGATTTCAGGGTCAAATTGGCTTTAACATTTAGGAGAACGTTTTTTTTTTTGTTTGTTTTATGTATATATTTAGTGCTCAAAATTGTACAATTACAATTGTACAATACAATTGTACAATTACTCAACTGCTCATTAGCCTAGCAATTGCTTCATTCAACCAATCAACTCAAAATTGTTTGTGATTCAAATTGACTTTCGTTGGTGATAGATCAAAAAATGAAAAGAGAATCAAGAATTAGAATTAGAAATAAAATAAAATTAGTGTTAACATTAGAAAAACCTTTTAAACATAATAATAAGAGAATAGTTTTTAATTTGAAAACAGACATTTTCGATTTGAACATGAAAACTCTTTCATGATAAACATGAAAGAGCTCTGACAATCCGATTCTCTTGTCTAACACCCAACTAAAGTCGCATTTAGTACCTGACAATCCGATTCTCTTGTCTAACACCCAACTAAAGTCGCTTTTAGCACCATATTTCGTCTTCTGTATTTTCTTGAAAGCATTTCCTTTGGGAAGATTCCAATCCGAGCCTAATTCTGCCTTTGTTCCATTTCCATTTCATGGCTGATTACTCTGAAATTTTGTCTACAAATAGAAATCAACATTTTCAACCTGTAGACAAAATTTCAGAGCAATCGGTCAAGAAACGATCGAGAAAATGAAGATGGAATTAGGTTTGCCTTGGAATTTCCCCATCTCTACACTCAGTGCCACTCAGCTGAAAGAAGCTGGTCTGCCCCCTATACGAGTATTTCCCCTTCTCATATTTATGTGCCTTCTTTTCATCCAATATTCACTCCCAAAATTTGTGCCAACTCATTTCCACTTACTTGATAAAGATTTTGCATTTTATTTGCATTAAACGGCAAGATTTTTGAGTATCAAAAAATACAATTGAAGGAAAATTCAAAAAACACCGACACCGGCCATAATTATGAAGATCAGAGCCACGGGCACCACGATAAACATCACAATCGCTGTGTACATCACTTTTTTCTTTCGCCAGAAACTCCGAGAAAAGTTCCCGTATGCTAGAATTTTAATTTTTTTTGGATAGAGTGAGTAATTCTTTTTCTAAAAAGCATCTATTTAAGAAAACTATCGTAGTTGGGGTAGGCTACTTTGCGCCAATTTTTTTTGCGCAACTCGCCATAACTTTCTTCTAAGCGGGTCAACCTTTATGATTATGGTATCATTTTGTTGCACTTATTGAGATCTACAAAATGACACCATAATCATAAAGATTGGTCCACTAAGAAGAAAGTTATGACGAGTTGCGCAAACGACCCAGTTGCGCAAATGACCCTGTTGCGCAAAAAAATTTGGCACAAAGTAGCCTACCCCTCGTAGTTAAATCGTTCGTTTAAATTCGATGAACCCAATTTTTGTATCATTCGATGAGAAATCACAAGACTCAGTCAATGAGATCAAAATTTGGCTGATCGAATGTAAACTAGCGGTTTAAACTATGGTAGTTTTTACAAATAGATGCATTTTAGGAAGCGCATTATAGTCTACTATTATAGTCATTATAGTCATTATAGTTTATCTCTACTTACCGCTTCTTCGATGTCGACGATGATGATGCACGGCGGCGGCTTGATTCGGTCGGATAAATCTCGGCTCTAAATACATTTATCTTAACTATTTTTTAAACAAATTTAAATATTTAAACACTTTAGACTTTAATATTTAAACATAAACACCTCTCTGATATTGTTGATAGCGAAAATCATCGAATGCTGGGTACGGAGTGTAGGCTGGAGGACTGTCGATACAGGCTGCCGGGTAAGAAGGAGGCTGTAAAGAAATTACTTTATTATGTTTGCCTTATCTTGGTTAGATTGCTTTTGAAGCTTGCAAAACAGTGAATAAACAGATGAGACGGCTGAACCTGCGAGTATCGATTCGTCGGATTTTGGAGTCTTTGAGCATTGGAAAGGCGAAGATTTGCGGCATTCAATGTCTAAAAAAGGTTTCAGTGAAAAGAAATTCGAGACTGGCTTTGATAAATCGGTAAAGTAAAGTAGGATAAGAAGAAGAAAGTAAATAAGAAGAAAACAAAGCCTTTACAAGCCTTGAAAAAAAGATCTCTAATTGGATACTTTGATAATTAATAATTAACAAAAAAAAATCGCTCGATCAACCTGAATTCTGGGTGGAACGGGTGTCAAATGGGTTCTTGGTGTGTTCGAT